AGATGGGAAAGGATCTTCAAAATAATTGCGTGCGTCAGTGAAAGTCCTAAATTTTAGTAGTCCATCCTTCTTTATATCAGTGACTAAACCTGGCTGGCCGTTCACTACTACTACATTATCAGGCTGACATGAAGTTATTTTACTGTTGTTAAACATAATTACTTGTTTAGTGGAAACATCATTAGCGCCTATTGTGGTAGTATTTGTTAAACCACTAATTTGGAGCCTATCGCTGAAAGACATTCTCTCAGAATAACGCTGTGCTGCTTGCTTAGCTACTGCAAACCCACTACGCACGGAATCCTTTATTTGTCTCATATGAGACTCGAATGGAAAGGCTGAAAAACTATCTAAAAGTCCATGTGCACGAACGTCGTCAGGTAGGTGCTGTAACGAATGCACATTGTAAACTAAGTGTTCACACCCATAACACCATTCGTATTCATTGAGGAAGTTTAGTAAATCTATTATGGCGGTTTCTACAACAGTTTTATGTAATTTGGGATGTGCAAGCAGATACATGGATAACGCTAAACGCCGGAAATCAAGATAAAAAGGTTGTGGCAATGTTTTTTCAAGAATCATCGGGCCTAAATACAGAAGGAACAGCCTACATTCAGAAGCTTTCCATGCCGATACAAAGTCTAGTGTACGGCATTTACGGGGAAAGTCAGAAGGAGTACTTGCCACACACCCGGATATTAAATTATTTACGTCTCTAATTGCACATGAGTTAAAGTTCCGCAGTCTTCGGCGTGCTAAATCTATCCATAAATTAGCTAGTTTTTGGTAACACCAAGGTACACCATGTGCATAGGATCTAGAGGAAAAGTTATAATCATATTAATAGAAAGCGTTTCCATTATAGAATGCCTTTGATGGTGAATTGACTGAGTCTGACGACGTAAGGTGTCGTTTGTTCTTAGAGTATATACTCCATTTGGAAAGGTCGTTTTCCCCTTCAGCCGTCTTCCAACTACAATACACCTATCCTAACCTGCCTTACCGTTGTGGTTTACCGTGTACCTTGCAGAAGAACGAGCAGGTGCGTCACATATAACAGCCGCCAACCTAATAGCTATACATTTATTAAACTTAACACTAAAAAGACCCACGTCAGTCATTTCTTTTATTTCAGAAATTGTGTCCGCAGACAATTCGTTGAGTTCTGCCGGCTTACTATTCCGTCCGTAGATCTCTATCAGGAACACGTCACTAAACCTAGGGGCAATGATCCGTCCTAGTATAGGCCATAACTGTTGATTGGAGCTTCTAGACATAGAAAGTCCATCTATATTGAGATATAAATGTAAAGAGTCAAAATCAATAGTACGCAACCAAAGCTCAAAGTATCTTAGCAGATTGGTTTTCAATCCTAGATGGTAGTAAACCCCACTGCCAATAAACTTTGGTTGAACACTTGGACACGTCTTTAGGACACCCCTTATGCTTTTCGGTATGTCTGGGATAAGAAATCGTAAACCATACAAAACCCGATCAGCATCTCTTATGCTGAGAGATGTATTTGACATTAGATACATAATAAAGTCGTTCATCAGTTCTTTGCGATTCACGAACTTTTGAAAGCACAAGCTCACTTCAGTACATCCTATAAGATATATATTCACGTACGAATTTAATGTTCATACCACTATTATCTGGAAGCCTTTGATTGATGTTGCTAGTGGACGGTGTAATAACTGAAGTACTTTCATTACCACTGATTTTTCTATTTACTTCTATCAATTTAATAAACAACATTGTGGAACCCAGTTACATTTAAGGGTGATTTTATTAGCAAACTCACTGAACGAAAGAAAGTCATATTTTTTCATGAAAGCAGCTTTCATTTTATTCCACCTTCTGTTATAAGTGGATCAATGACAGCCAAGGGGAACGTGACAAGTTCACAGTGGCCCTACGCCTACGAACATTCTCACTGACTTCAATAGAACTCATAGTATTGACCTTACAGGGTAATCAGTTACAACGAACATGAAAATCTGAGAGCACGTCACTCACATGCATCACCTAATTCTTTTATGATGGCTCCAAAGCATGTCGGAACACCTTAGCTAAATAACAAATGAAGTCACTCTATATGCGTATCAACCGAATGCCTGGTTCCGTATTTTGTACATTGTTTCTATAACAATACTTTTGTTTTTCATTAAGCGGTGCCTTAATTTGTCGAAGTTTATGAAAACTTCAGTTCAGGATGCGGTTCATTCGAACACTGTACGTTACGTAGAATTGTCGACAAATTTCCCCCAAATACACGAAGTAAAGGGGAAAAAGCGACATTTCCCTTAAATAACCGACGTAAAAGCGAAAAAGCGACATTTCCCCTTTATTTACGCTTTCGTCCTCTTTATTTCCCCTTTTTGTGTTGCTTGGGTCTGACCTATGTTTTCCTTCACTAATCTACTACTGTTGAAACTAAATCCTTTATCTAGGTAAACACGATTCTGAGAGCAGTTAAGATAATTGACAAGTTTTGTTGTGATACGAATGCTCTTACCAGTTCAGATTTCAGTCTTTATTGGTTGAGATAGCAAGTAGGTTTGCTTATGCCTATTTTTACGGCTTGTTTTCCAATGGAGATACAGCTTCTTCATGAAAGTGCTCATTGATGGGCCTGATGCCATTTGTTCCGGTAATGAACTTCTCAGTCTCTGAGCACTTGATGAACCTCAATCAGTGTTTGTAAGATCGCGGTTTTGAAACCTATATCTATGACCTTGAAATGACCAGTTATAAGAGGAGCAAAAAGATAGGACATGTTAACTCATGTTAACCTCACTGTTATTTATTTCCATTCAGATTTTGACATCATCCCTAAAGAATAATTAACGAAAAGGAGAAATCATTAGTGAACAAAAATGACGGATAACCACTTTTACCCAGCTCTAATTTAGGTTGTACACCATTTGCTATCATCCTCTCTCTCCGGCCAGAGTCATCTTCTCAACAGTTAAATGAATACTAAAAACTCCAGTGTCGATTTTTACTAAAGATTTATATATCGGTGAACATGAAAAACTCTGTGTCAATCTGATTTGTACAATATTTTCTTGTTTAGAACTGACTGTCTACAGTTATGTTTCAACAACTCGTGGTGGAAATTCTACAGTAAAGTTCATAACATCAATCTTTAAGACTCAATCGGTAAATTCTTTACAGTGAAGTCCCATGAGACCATCAAACATAATAGTAATTGATAATAGCTGAAACTATATTGCATTATTAATTTGAGATGATCTTCTGGTGAATTGACAGTCAAACAGAGTATTAGTTCAACAAGAGCTGTGAGAGTTCACAGGTTATTTGGCATCACGAGGACTGTTTAAATGATAGGACGGTGATCAAAAGATTTATTAGCAAATTGATTTATGCGAGTTGACGAATTAGCCGCCCTTCTTACCATGTTGTTCTGCAACTTATAAATTCATTATATAGTCGTGCTGTGTAGATAATGTTTGTAGCATTCGTATTTGTTATGCACGAGACAGAGGTTTTACGGTTTAAAAGCTGAAGGTTGTAAAGACATGCTTGTCTATTTAGTAAAGTATCAAAGTGTTAATATTTCGTTTCCCAACAGTGAACCACAAAATCTGTTTTCTCAGGTCTGTGATCAGTAATAACGTGCTTTGTTTTCTATAAGACTAATAAATGTGATGTATTGCATTTGACTCATTATGATGTAACTCCAATTTTACGTCGAAGTCACATCACATTCCACACAGATTGGCCATGTCGCGGCAACCAGGAGATTATTTCATAAGAACCGTTATTCACTAATATGAGTTAGGTTGATGATTTAGTTCGAGGACTGACGACATGTATATTTCAATTATATCCATATGATTTAATTAGAATCAGATCTAGACCCACTAAAGTGGTGAGCCCGTGATTCGAACAAGCGATCTTCTGATCTGTAGTCAGAATGTGGTGGACCAGACAAATATGAACGCAAAAAGTATAAACAAAGTTACTAAAGATCAATAGTAATATTAATATATACAGTTAATTGTTACAAATACAATAAAAATTAGGGACGTTACTTAAATTGACCAAACGCTGCGTGTTCTGATTAGGTCCGGTAATGTAAATCCACAATTATAAATGTTTGATAATTCCAAGCAGGTTGGCGAACTCTCTGGTGATATAATCCCACGTAGAATGTGATGTATTCCAATTACAGTGTTCACCCAAAATGATGCGTGTTCAGCTTTAATCAGGTACAATAAATCCACAATTATAGATGCTTGGTTATTCCAAACGTATCGATGAAATCCCCAGTGGTGTAATCCAAAGTAAGGTATGGTGTGTTCGCTCTCACAGTCTATGAATGTGAATAATATTTGTTTTAGATCTCAGTTAACTCAATCTCGAATGAAAATAAAACGAGGGATGTGTGAGAAGCAGTGTATTTGTTAACCAGCAACGATATGTCACGCTATGTAGTATCACAACGGAAAAAGTGTTCAAGGTCATTGACTAAAACAACACGTACAGTCATTTAGTGATAAATGTACATACAGTGAGAAATTGACAAAACAAATACAAATAATATTAAAAACTATTTACAAAATAAGCTTGTCAGTCATATCTCCACATAGCTCCCCCCAGAGTGTCCGGAGGTAACACTGGTTACAATTAACAACAATAAAAAATTTTATACAAAAATAATATTTACAATAATAACCAATAAACAATGTGGAGATGCGTATGACATGTACGTTAATAATATACAGTATGTTATTGCGTGAAAATATTGGTGATATGGCATAGCATGACAAACAAAAGTAATGAGAATATCGTCATTTAAAATCTTGGTTTGCTAACACTGATAATGATGTGCAGAACTGTTACTGAACCCAAAAAAATGAACTGCTTATTTTTTTGTGTGTGTGTACAACAAAGGAATAATTAAATAGAGTTTACTCGTTTATTATTGTAACAAATTTTTTTCTATGGAAAAAAAATGTGACAAAACGAATAATTGTGGGGAAAAATATGGTTAATTATGTACACTGTAAAAAAAAGGAAAAAAAATTATTGATTTTTTTAATCGACGAAATGGACATAACGCTTGGGTTTGTTTATAGGTCTGCCCGAGCGTGTTAAACAAGAAGGTTTAGTATTAAGTTTTTTATCCTCCCCCGACTTTTCAGTCAATGGTGAAAGGGGTTGATTGTCAACGGCGTTGTCTTCTTTGACTTGAGTAGATTCATAGAAAGCAGGTTTGATTCTGTCTATAGAAATAGTCTGCTTTTTGCCATCTCTGCTGATGATGAAGTATTTTTGTGTGCGTTTAATTACTTTATATGGACCTTCGTATGGTTGTTTCAATGGTTTTTTGACAGCATCTACTCGAACAAAGACAAATTTGCATGTTTCTAGATTTCTGTCGAGTTGTATTCGATTGTTATGTTCACGAGGCGGTATGGCTTTGATTCGTTGCATGGTTTGCAGCAGTTGGCTAGCAAAACGACTTGGGTCCGTTGGTGTTAAAGTGTTTGGGTCCACTAGTTGACCTGGTAATGTAAGGGTTGTACCGTAAACTACCTCAGCGGCTGTACAACCTATATCTTCCTTTATAGGTGAACGGATACCCAGGAGTACAAGTGGTAATGCGACACTCCATTTTGTCGTATCATCTTGTGCCATCAGCGAGCTTTTCAATTGGCGGTGAAATCTTTCGACCAAGCCGTTAGCTGCTGGGTAGTAGGCTGTTGTTTTGATGTGGTTCACGCCCAGAAGTCTTGTGAATTCCTGAAATAAGATAGACTGAAACTGGGGACCACGGTCGGTAGTGACGATAGAAGGTACTCCGTAATTTGCTATCCAACGGTCAAGGAATACGCCGGCTACTGTTTCTGCAGAAGTATCAGCAATAGGGCATGCTATGGCCCATCTTGTGAACCTGTCCACCGCAGTGAGAATATGAGTGAATGAATTAGATGGTGGCAATGGACCAACTATGTCTAAGTGGATATGCTGAAAACGTTTTTCCGGCAGGGGATACTTGCCAACTGGACTGATCGTGTGTTTCTGAATCTTGCTGCGTTGACATTGTAGGCAGCTTCGCGTCCATCGTTTTATATCTGAATTGATTTTTGGCCACACAAAACGCTCAGTAACCAATTTGATTGTGGCTCTGATTCCTGGGTGAGAAAGGTCATGCAGTTGACGAAATACCTGTCGACGACATGCTAGAGGTACGAAAGGGCGATTGTTACCCGTTGAAACATCGCAAATGATAGATGTATTTGAGAAAGGAATGGGTACTGGTTTAAGGTTCAAGTTAGACTTTTCCTGGCAGGCCTTCAAATCTGCATCGTCTACTTGTAGTTTTGCAATGGTTTCTAGATCGATGTATTGTTTACGTAACAGGGTGTTTACGTGCTTACGTGACAATGCGTCAGCTACGACGTTGGTGTATCCTTTGACAAATTGTATATCTGTCGTAAACTGGGAGATGTAATCCAGTTGTCGTGCTTCGCGAGGTGAATGTCGGTCGTACGATGTGTGGAATGAGTAACATAAAGGTTTGTGATCGGTCATGATGGTAAAAGTTCGTCCTTGTAGTAAAAAGTTGAAGTGTTTAACGGCTAAGTAGATAGCAAGTAACTCCCGTCCAAAGGTACTGTAGCGTTCCTGGGCTGGTGACAATCTTTTGGAGAAAAACGCTATGGGAGTAATCATATTGTTTACCTGTTGTTGTAATACTGCCCCGACGGCTTTTTGAGATGCATCGGTACACAGAATTAAGTGGGTTGTGGGGTCAGTATTTAGATATTGTAGCATGGTGGCATTAGCTATCATCGACTTTGCTTCTTCAAACGCTCTTTTGGCGTCAGGGGGTAGGTTGAATGTCTGACTCTTCTCTTTCTTCGTACCTTTTTTGTCGGTTTTCAACAGATCGGTTAATGGCTGTAATACTTCAGCACAATGTGGTAAGAAGCGGCGATTAAAATTACACATGCCAAGGAAGCGTCGTAATGACTTCACCGAGGTTGGTTCGGGATAATTGGTAATCGCTTCAACCTTTTCTGGGAGTGGTTTGATGCCTTGAGAGTCAATGTAATGTCCTAAAAACTCTAAGGCTGGGACTGCGAATATGCATTTCGAAGGATTGATGACGACGCCGTGTTTTTTAAAACGATCAAAAAGGGTCTGGACATGTTTGATATGCTCTTCTAAAGATGACCTTGCAATGAGAACATCGTCGATGTAGGCAAATACGAAGTCTAAACCTCTTGTGACATCATCCATGAATCGTTGGAATGTCTGCGCAGCGTTTTTCAATCCGAATGGCATCCTTAGAAACTCAAACAAACCAAAAGGTGTTATTATGGCTGTTTTCTCAATGTCTTCCGGTGCCATTGGAATTTGATGGTATGCACGCACGAGGTCGAGTTCCGAGAAGATGCATTTACCATGTAAATTTAACGCGAAGTCGTGTATATGTGGAATAGGATACCTACCCGGGATGGTTTGGTTGTTTAATCGTCGGTAGTCACCACACGGACGCCAATCTTGGTCCTTCTTAGGTACCATGTGTAACGGCGAGGCCCAGGGGCTGATGGATGGTCTGATAATACCAAGTTGCATCATGTGTTCGGATTCTCTTTTCGCTACTTGCAACTTGCTTGGTGGTAATCTCCTCGCCCTGGCGCTAATAGGTGGTCCGGTGGTAGTGATATGGTGTTGTACCAGCTGTGGGTTACCTTCCTTTTGGTAATCTGATTTCATAATGCACTGGTATTCTGTTAGAATGTCGTTGAAGATATTGTTCACAGGTTTAATTATACGAACACCATGGATCTCGTTGTCGTTGGAGAGGGTACCATTTACCTGTAAACGTGTGTTTGTGTCGACTAATCTCTTGTTGGTCATATCAACTAAAAGGTTGTACGCACTAAGAAAATCGGCCCCGAGAATGGGTCGTTTGACTTCAGCAACTATGAATACCCATGTGAATCGTCTACGGAGCCCGAGATCTAATATAAGAGATTGTTCTCCATAAGTTTTGATAACTGATTCGTTAGCCGCTATTAAAGACAGTTTGGTGCTTGTTGTCTGTTGTCTGCGGGAGAGATGGAGTGGGATGATGCTGATTTCTGCTCCCGTATCGACTAAAAAGTCTGAGCCAGAAATACGACCCCTGATGTGGAAAAGGCGGCTGACATGTTGGCCAGTAACAGCTGCCGCTATTACTGTCTGGCCAATTCGTTTCCCTGATGGTCTGGCTTGCTTGCCGTGAAGTTGCACGGTTTTGTGCAACGACGTGCTTTCTCGCCATAATTCGAATGATACCAACACATTCCAGCTGCACGCTTAGGTGACCTATGACGATGTCTTGATAATGATCTCCTTCTGGACATAGATTTGGGGCGTCGAGAATGGATGGTGGCAATAGTCGCCTGTAGTGATGCTAGCTGCCGTGTTAAGTGTGACATTTGTTGCTGAATGTCAAGAGGAGGGTTCATAATGCCAAAAACAAAAAGTGGTGTCGTGCCAATTAACAATAACAATAATAATAATAATAAAATTATGTAGATATATAAATTAAATGTCTATAAAAAATAATCGAGGCTCACCAAACAATTGTGGTGGACCAGACAAATTTGAACGCAAAAAGTATAAACAAAGTTACTAAAGATCAATAGTAATATTAATATATACAGTTAATTGTTACAAATACAATAAAAATTAGGGACGTTACTTAAATTGACCAAACGCTGCGTGTTCTGATTAGGTCCGGTAATGTAAATCCACAATTATAAATGTTTGATAATTCCAAGCAGGTTGGCGAACTCTCTGGTGATATAATCCCACGTAGAATGTGATGTATTCCAATTACAGTGTTCACCCAAAATGATGCGTGTTCAGCTTTAATCAGGTACAATAAATCCACAATTATAGATGCTTGGTTATTCCAAACGTATCGATGAAATCCCCAGTGGTGTAATCCAAAGTAAGGTATGGTGTGTTCGCTCTCACAGTCTATGAATGTGAATAATATTTGTTTTAGATCTCAGTTAACTCAATCTCGAATGAAAATAAAACGAGGGATGTGTGAGAAGCAGTGTATTTGTTAACCAGCAACGATATGTCACGCTATGTAGTATCACAACGGAAAAAGTGTTCAAGGTCATTGACTAAAACAACACGTACAGTCATTTAGTGATAAATGTACATACAGTGAGAAATTGACAAAACAAATACAAATAATATTAAAAACTATTTACAAAATAAGCTTGTCAGTCATATCTCCACAAGAATAGGGGACACCAAAGCGGTGGGCCCGTTGACGACACCATGCAGTCAAATTGATGTCAAAATGAGGAGCTTCACTAAAGGATAGTGTGTGTTCAGCAAAACTAATTAAATCAGCACCACTGTTTGGGACTTACAGGAGTTTATTTTGGGGATTTATTTATCTGTACAGGTACTATCATTGACACCGACGAACTAGAATCACAAAATAATCTCGACAACTTTGTTCAGAAATGGGTGTTGATAAATAAACTCAGTCAATACTCTACTTATTAATCAATACATTAAAAGTAATCAATGAACATTTGATGAGACACAACTAGGATATGAATGTGTTCATACGCAACTATTTGAGAACAACGTTAAAATAGGTCTCCAGAGGTAGCAAATTTTTGTCCCGTTACATATTGCATTCATTCAGCCAGTTAATGTGCTTGTGTTCTTTAGGGTACTGAAATGGCAGATAATGAAGTTGCAATAATATTTTTTTTTACCAAGGAGTAGTTAACTTCAACAAAATGGCAAGATGGTTTAAAATCCACTATCCATGAATGAACTAGGTTTTACATATAAGATGACTCAAAATTAGAACTAATGGAATGTGCTATTAGAGAACGATTTCAAGAAGCTTTTTACTTATGGAAAAACATACTGTAAGGAGTAACATAGATCAACCGTGCTACCATCTTTAGTGCTGAAAAATGGTTAAGTTCGTAATGAGAAAGTCTTACTGAACGTCACTCTTGAAACCAAAGAACTGGATAATGATATCTCGGCGCGGGTGCGACATCAAATGGTGCATTTACGAGAAAATATAAAACGGCAAGACGTTTTTTATTGCTGCTCGATTGCTCTCATTAGATTTGTAGCCGTAAACAAACCCCAAAATCAATAGTTCTGTAAGTCTCCAACATTTGATGCTGGTCGCATTAGTTTTAATAGACTCAACTGGCTGGAGACACTCGGTCATGCATTCGTACCAAATATATTCGAACTCCTTCAATCCTGTCTTCTGATTTGACTGCGTTGTAAAGGTGTTACGAGTTAGGGCGTTGTCAAACTCAGAATACTTGTAGCATCTCCAAATTGTTATTTGGCTTCTGAGATCTTAAGAATTGCCCCCAAATGCCCTGGTACGGCCGAGAGTGGGGAAAGTCCGCTCTCTCTCTCGAAATGCTCTCACATGGCCACGCGTACATAGCCTCTGCCAGGGAAGTCCTACTCACTGCCTTCTCGTGGCGGGGGTGTTATTTACAAAAATGAGAGGACGAAAAGCAAATGTCCGGCGCTTTAACCGGATCCCAAACTGATGGTGCACATGGGCTCCAGTATCCTGCGGGAACAAATGGCGTATGAACCAATCGTTGGTCACCGGGTACCATGGGACTGCATCTCCTTACGATGCTCCACTGCCTTGTGGGTCAGACCTCTAGGTCAAAGGCTCGGGGAGTGGCCCCCTAAGAAAACCACCTGCTTCGGTTTGGGCACCCGGGCAGTATCACAGCCCTCGCACATATCGAATAAGATTTGTGCGGCGCACATGTATTTGGTGTTTTCTTGTACCAATATCTATGTGTTAAAATAATAATAATAAGTAATACCATCCCTATGTGCCGTTGTTACTCCTGAAGCACACATTCTCCTAAGAAATGTTGTGTGCGAATTGATTCAGATTGACTTTGTCTACGTAGAAATTATCAGTTTAAGTGTTTGTAGCCGCTTAAAGTGCGAAGTCTTTTGAGAGTGGTGGTATATAACCATACAATTTGGTGCGTGTACTGGACTATGTGGCTGAAAAATACTTTGATTTAAACCTATTTGTTAATTTTTGCTCAGTTGTGTGATTACTTCGAATGCCTACATGTGAATCCTCTTAATATTCCTTTGCCTGGTTGCCCATCGCTCTGTTAGTTAATCATATCCTATTACAATATTGATATATAAATACTACAGACATGCAGAATAATCTCAATCATACCTCGATTATTTATTACTGCTGTATATACTAGTCAATTTAATTAGTGAAATATATATTCAAGGACATTGGTATGATAGTCCTTACTTAGCTAATTTGCCTTCGGTGATCGATCATAAAATGACGAGTACAACGTTCGGATACACGTATGAAAAGTGCACCATGGAACTTCGATAGCAATAAAAATATATCGACAGTCTCAAAACACTAGTATCAGATTATTTCTGAGTTATTTTTTGTTGTGCAGATACTCATGAAATTACTTCGCTTCTCGATTCACTTTCGAGCAAATGTCCTTCGTCTTAATTAGACACAAATACTGCAACGAAAAGGAAATGAAACCACGTTCTGACAATCCTTTGCACAAATAGGCTAATTATAACTTACAGACAAATTCATATTTACAGAAGAGACCGTTCATATTCAGACAGGAATATATCATTGGAAATAAAAATCTCATTAATTGCATTTAAATTGTCAAAATCTTAGATCGTGCAGGAAGGAACATGCAAGGATAATTGGATTGTTTTGACAGAAATTCCAACTTTTTAATCATCGTGAAAATACCTGTTGGGATTTTCAGGTCCTCATTAACCTAACACGTAAGGATTCTTGAAAAAAACGTTATAGGGAAATAAGTATATTTGTCGGTGGGTAAACAAAGCGCAGGCATGAGATGATCTATACACGCATGTATCACTAAAAAAGGTCTTCTTTATCAGTTTTACAATTACACTGTTTCAAAACACTAGGCGAAGTCGTGAAAACGGAAAACAATTGAACCTATGGTTATGTTCGAAGGATCAAGATATCACCTTGAACCGGCAAACAGCATAAAAAGTAGGACAAGTTAAGGCATTCCTCTGAGCCCCAGCCTTGCTAATTAGATTAAGAATGCTAAATTCAGCCGAGAAAACACAATTCCATGAGCAGCTGAGAAGAGCGAATGATAAGCACATAACTCATGCATAATATATACAAAACGAAAATGTAGTTGATCAGCATCACGAAATGGTGTACAAAATGAGAGAACGGACGAATGTTGTTCGAAGTTCTTCCAGGTGAGAAACACAAAGTGAAGGTAATAATAGCCTCCTTTGGTGCGAAAATGAAGAATCCAAAGTTCTACAATTAAAATACAATAATAAAAAGTTAGTAAAGTGATTTATAGGCATCTAGCACTTCAAAGAACTGATCTAACCTTCTGGAGGTTCTTATTAAAGCAAGCAAATTTTGCTCCGTACGATCACATTGTGATATGGTATGTTGTGGTTCAGGTTCGTCTTGTGAAACATTGAAAAATTAATCTCCTTACTATCAAAACATACGCCATCAGGTTAATAGAATAATTATGTCATGTAAACGAAATACTACTATATACTTTCCACTCATTTTTCCCGGTTGGAACTTGACTTAGATTAGTAGCTACTAAACAACTTTTTAGAGACTATTTCCAATAATAGCATTTGTCCCAAATTTAGTAGGAAGCGTTGCCTGCGAAGTGATTAAAATAAGTTTTCATCCTGACAATATTACGTGTTCAGAAGAATCAACAGCAAAATCAGTATAGGTATCAGAAATCTATAAGTTACTTTAAATATTATTTCTTCAAATATGTGAACATCCCAAGCACTTATGAATGTCAGACGGTAGTAACACGTTATCTACAACTGTTTGAAGAATTGTCATATATGTTATCATGTTAATGACCGTCGAAGACCAAACTTCTACAGATGTAAGGAACATCTTCAATCGATATTGCCAAATCGAAGGTATAGATCTTTCCTTTCACGGATTCAGCTGGTGGTAAATTAAATCCGAAAATGAAATCCCTGCTGAATTCATCAGGTATTTATCATTCCAAACTTTTTCCTACAACTCATTGTAAGCATTTTCATTAATATGATTAAACTACGGAGAATTACACGAAAATCAGGTGTGATAAAGAAAAGGCAGTGTATTATATAAGGTATACAAACAATTTATCACTTTAAAATGTTGCGAATACTATTATGGCAAATACATAATGATGACCAACATACACTATCATAAAATATAAAATACAACAACTGTAGTAATGAACTGATAAGTATAAATAAATTGTAAACATAAAAATATCCGAAAACAATAACATAATAAAGCTTATAAAATAAATATAGAATTAGTAAACAAGCTGGCTAACAATTAGTATACAATATTTTAATATAATTGTTTTAAAGAATAAAGATACACAGCCTTCATAAAATGTAGTGTAGTAATTGCAAAAATTGAAAAAAAGGAATGATCCCAATACAAGAAACAGGAAGTGTAGGAGTTATTAAACAATCAAGCAAAATAAAGTACTGAGTAAATGGTATTAATATGGGGAAAAAAAAATATTTCAAAACAAAAGAAGTAAATTAATATTAAATAGTAACTAAAAACACTATTGAATTGGTTTCGGGATGGGAATTTGATGTAAGTCACATAGGTCTAACAGTAATTTATGTGTATTTCTTCGTTCAACAGCATATCTGTAAAGAAATTCAAGCAATAGAAACAAGGAGTGAAATAAATTTCAGGAAAATTTCATTAATTATGCGAAATGATAGCTAAACAGGAACCAAGGGCCGGTAGAATTAATAAAATTCTATTGGCTATACATTATTACAGACCTGTTTCCATAATTTTAAGCGTATCCCTTAACCTAGTGACCAAACATTTATAATAATATTATACTCGGCGTACAATTTTTGTCAAACTATTCGTTCTAGAATTGACGAATATTCGTATAAATTTATAATAACAGTGAAGATTTGAGTATTTATTTATTCAGTTTATGTTGTAGATAATATATATTTGAATAAAGGGCTTAAGAGTAGTTTCAATTATCATCTGAACGATGAACTTATTTATTGAAATTTGAAAGTAAGTGGTAAGAAAAATACTGTAAGTAAAGATAGCTTTAAAGTAAAATTGTTCAGCAACTGAGGTAGAACTACAAACTACAAGTTTTTTACTTTGGTATTCATTCAATTAAGTTGTAGTGATTTTTTAAATTTTGTCGAAGAAATAGAGCGTAAAATAACCATCTGTATACAAAGAATTACTAAACTATTTGATTATGTGACGATTTAGAATGAATATATTGTAACAGCAAATAGGTTTATAAAGTCTACCGCTGAGAACCCATTTCAAAGTTGTACAGATAGCCTCATTTGGGACAATGTTACTGGAAATTTAAGAAATAGCTATCATTGTATACAAACAATGGGGATAATGAAGATCTATGTAAATATCTTAGGTAAGGTAGAATGAAAGTGAAAAACATTATAAGAAATCTGCTAATTTTCTAGCACACTTTACTGTTAGGGGTGGACAAATACACACGCAACAGAAATGATACAAGAGTTAATCAAACAGATAAACTATAACTGGGCATTATATTTTATACATCAAAAATAGAATTATTTTACTGAAATTATAAATATGGTGGCAAGATAAATAATTTGAAATAAAAGATAGAAGGACATTTGCTTTAATGACATGAAAATAAAGATTCATTTTATGATAAAGAAAAATATTCCCTTTGCTAGATTTTTATTTACTCAATATACATTGGAAAAAATCTCGTTAATTAAGTCGAATAACACTTATCCACATCAAGAGAGAAACATATCAGTAAGGGAAATCAAAATGATTGTTAAAGATCTAAATTTAATGGGCAAACCATTAGCATTAATCAACTAATATCGGGTTATCAAAGCTTAGAAAATTTGTTAACAATTTAAAATCATCGGTTATGAAAGAATCACCATGAGGATGAATGAAAAATAGCATTACTGCGATGGTGGTTGTATAGTAAAACAAGTTATTCTCAGTTATTCTGCATTTGCTTATATTCTTGGGACAGTGTTAATTCGACAATAACATTAAACCCCTAGTTCTTAGCGACGTTTCAAAGGTCGTAGTAATTAAATGGAACAAAAGGAGTAGAAAGTATTGACGTGTCAGTCTAAGAAAATGGTAATTCAGAGTTATTACAAACCCTATGATTACATCACGATCTAATGGTTAAATAAAATGATTTCTGAGCAGATTTGCTTGAATGTGTGAAATAAGATGTAAATTTGCATGTAACTGATACAAAGAGATTGTTCGAAATTAAAGTTTCTGGAGGCTGGGAATTGAAAATCTTAGAGTAAATTTCAGATTTCATGGTGGATGTTTCGACCAGACATCTGAAAACCTGGATATGTTCATACAACCGTAGGTGGGATATGACTTCATAGATTATGAAGTTTCATGCTGAAACGGTTCACTGTAAATGGGATTTAGAATAATTATGATAAATTTGAATCCTCGTTTTAATTAAAAAATCCTTCCTAAATTCCTTTCTTACTGTACTAATGTGAGATGTGACAACTTGGGTCGAAGCACATTCTACTTTGTCTATAACTGTATGACAGATGAAAAGTTTTACTGTGGTTCAACCTTGTACAATGAAAATGTAACCTTTGGTCTAACACATAAAGTAGTTTATACAATGAATTTCACATCTTTAGGTATCACCAGTCAACTAATCCCACGTAAAAAAACCCCGAAAAAATGTGATAGTAAAAATAAGTGGGAAGTGTGGAAAAATTAAATTTGAATCAATGATGAAAACTGTTTTATACATCTAGCCAAAATATTAAAAAAAACGTGAAAAGCTAATAAGTTGTCTTTTTTTCAAGAGGAAGTAATAGGATTGGTATGTGCAAATTTTTGTATACGCCGTGCAGAACATATAGATTAAAGAAAAGTTATGCTCACAGCAATAGCAAAAAGTATTTGAGCTAACCCGAAATTATAGTTGGATTATTTTTCCCGTATCTTATGTTCTAGAATATAAAGACATAACAATTATTATACATATATGAAAAGTTGTGAATTATTTGTATACCGAGTAACTACCAGATGAAATCATGATAGGATTCTGACTAAGTAGTATATTGGTAGTAAAGAAGCAGTAAGATCTGAAAATCTTAGAAACAACACTGTATAAATTATATGATATACACAACTGGAGGATAATTCTAAAGTAGGATTGAGTACCTCCTGTCGCTTAATGGAACACAATAAATGATGTAAGTGTTTATGAAAAAGACTAATAATGACAGTTAGTTATTATCGATCCACAGTATGATGAACTTTACAATGAATTCATATACATGAAATAAACAATTTACTAGCTAAGTTAACAATAACTTAACAAATATAGAAAGGCATCTATATACATTGTCGAATAGAAAAAAAATTAAAATTGACTCTCTGTGTAATTTACATAGTTCATACAACAATAATGAATAATCTTGTTAGATTTTTTCAGATATTGGACAGCTTTCGTATATAAAAGATCGAATATGTTCATTTTTAATGCAAACAAAGCGGGCGCACAAATACACTCATGTTATTCTGCATATAATGACCTAAAGAAAAACTATTTTTATATTGATTTATATCTATATATTAGAAAATAGAAAACGAAAAGGAGTCAACAGAGCAGAAACGTAGAACAATTACATTCCATATTTTTTATACAATAGAAGAAACAATAAACTACGTGAATACACTCATGTTAATTGTGTTGTGTGCAAATACTGTTGTTTCACAAATATCTACTCAGGAAGATTGAATTTTTGTATGAAATATATATATATACGTTTGTATACGCTTATATACAACTGTCAGTGAGTTAAGAAAAATGCTGTTGAGCGGATATACTGGTTGAACTAACCATCTTTCATATGGATAAACCAAATATATCGCAATAAAAACTAAATGTACAACAGTAAACAAGGTAGACTCATAAAGTTTATGAGTATCACAGGAACAAATGTCAAGAATTCAATTAAATAATATGTACTAACCTGGTTCCAGGTGAAATTTCAGTGGTGGATGAAGTTGCCTTTTCAAGTAAAAAAATCAAATATAAAAATCAGTCACTAAAAGCTGGATTAAATGATTACTTCTACGCTAAGAATGCTGAAAGACATCTATCGATCACATTGTAATTAGGCTATTGACTCAAGTAGTTTAAAATCGCGGTAAACTATGTTTGATGTTAGAGATGATTGCTAGAAAGTCGAGGAACGGGATTTTATACTATCTGGGACTCTTCAGTAAGGTGCAAGATTAGCCATCAAGATGCCATCAAAATTTCGAAATCATTCCAGGGCTGTATAACAAGCATATTTAAGATAAGTGACTATTTTAAGAACTCTGAAGCTTAGTTATCTATACTAGTAAGACTAAACAATAAGCTGTTGAGATATAAGGCGATTATCTTCATATTTCTAACAAATTTAAGAATAGCACCTGAGAATCAACCACATGAACAGACAGATGTTTGACATATCCAATCATTATTGTCTTTTATATTTCAGTAAAATAACGATTTGTAGTAATTGTACAACAGTATGTAATGTCCTAAATAGTTTTCACAGTAACTAATCATTGAAATCTCAGTATTCGGTTTTATTATGCTTTTAGTCATGAAACTGGGAAAGCTAAAAATGTTAAGAAAATAAGATGGGACAACATGCAGTTGGGATAAAGTCTTTTTTAAGTGACCTATATAGTCTAAAAGACAATATATCTAGGACACTGTGAAACGACGATTCGACTTAGCTTTTAAGCATTCTCAAGGATATAAACCAATTACGATTTTTACACAAACTATTAGCTAAAACTCTCTATCCATATTAACTTTTGAATTTTTTTGTTTTGAGTTAACAAGATAATATTTAATCTAGACTATATAATATAAAACGTTACCTTTGAAGGAACACTATAAGCCAATTGAATCAAATTCAATATTTCTAAATCATTTTTTGACTTTGCCACATCAAGAGCATTTTTGTCATTCTATTAAGTTAAACAAATAAAAAAAACATATAGTTAATGAGAATCACCTAAACTATTTTATTGTATGTATTTTTAAAAAAAGACTTAATTCATAGCATGTAATTATGATGGACAAAAAGAGATAACAGGTATGTTAGTATAACAAATATGAAGGCATGTGCCGATGTTTTGGATTTAAGTACTTGTAGCGCCTCGTATTTTGTATAATTCTAACAAATTTAAGAGTAAAGTTGTGCAATTGAACTTAATAATACGCCTGAAGCTACTATAATGTAAAGTGGGTCCGGAACTAACAAATAAACTACACAACAGATTAAGATTTTTTAGCAATAATTCAATGAATCAAACTAATATAATTTCAAAATGGTAATTGAGATAAAACGATCACCACAAATAAAAAAAGTATGGTTCAAATCACTCGATTTGAAATTTTAATTGGTGGATAAAAAGTTGGGTTTCTATTTACTTTAATGGTTCATAAGAAGCAACTGTTTTGAATTATTCTTCGACTCATTTCAAGATTTAATGAAAAATGTACACTTTTGTAAGCAAATATTTTAAGATAGCCATTTTAACTAATGAATAACCTGTCATCAGTGTAAATTGACAGACCGTTAGCCTGAAAAATACAAACTAAAGGATAAAGCTATCTAAAAAAAACTAAACCAAACAACTGGACTTGATTATAGGTTGCTTCATCAGGATCCAAGTGTTTAGCACTCTATTTTCATAATATATCAACTGTTGGAGACTAGTTATATTCAACTCATGAGAAAATCGATATTTCTATCAATCAATCACTGCCAACTAATTTAGAGTCTACCAGAGCAATGTTTTATCGGTATTTTGATATGATTCACCATACATTCTTGAGTTTTACTCATTACAAAAAAAAACATCACAATATGACAATGTTCTTTTCTATTAGGCGGTAATTTAATTCAAGTGTTGCATTCAATGTGCCTGTCATATATACAAATTACGGATTAGTAAAGATGCTAAAAATTTTAATGTAACTGTCTACAAAATCTATCTATTACTAAATAGTTGTCAATGGACTTGGACTAATAAAACAATATGTAATCATCAAAGAAGCCAATTGAAAAGGTAGCATTGAATTTTACACTTGATTATTAGCTAATTTTTGATGAAAACATCAAAAAACTGAGTTTTACCGGTTGCAACTTGTAAAGTGTACTTTATATTAGTAACTGGAATTTTTTTGTTGAGCAAATGAAAACTAAAGACAGACTATACAATGCACTCAGTTTTTAAGTGGTTGTCAAAATACACTTTTAGTAGGTGTTAATAAATAACAATATAATTATAATAAAGATTGCTAACAAATTAGATAAAAAGTAAAGACAACAGTGTTTGGTAGAACAGAATGAATCCATTGTATGTTGTTAATTTCCTCTTTATAGTAACATTCAAGTTAATAAACTTTTATTAATATTTAGGGTCTCGTAACCTTTGAACTAGACATCCAATGGTTTACATAACTAATCCCAACCAATTCACGATTTAATGAGGCTATCATTTAAAATCAGTGGTGGATCACTTCCCCACAACCGATATGGATGGACTACAATGGCCACAGCTTGACACTAGGACTCTGGAAGTTGCCTGTTACTAGTGGGAGCATGGTTATAACTGATATAAGAGATTTTTGGATACTGAATTTTGTGGTTTACATCATATAGTGAACTTAGTTAGATAATCAATAAAGATTAGTAAGCACTGGATAGCTAACTTTGAGAGATAACTGAGGAGTTCTAGTGAGGAGCAAGCAAGTGAGTGTAAGGTAGTTAGCCACTAATGACATTGGAAAGTGATTACTCAATATAGCGAACTGATTGAAGTTAAAAATGTAAACTATTTAATGTTCACTCAGTGATTTAAAGGTTAAGAGCTCGCTGTAACACTTGAAAGTTTAGCGTTCTACCCTTGGTGACGTAGTGAGTACACACTGATAAGTCGTACATCAGGACAAAACAGTCGTTCAGTGCTTCCTAGTTTTCAATGGTTGTCTAAATAAGGTCAGTCAATAAAAACAAACAAACTAGACGTCTTAAAAAGGTTTTTAAGCATGTTCTGTTGTTTCAATAATTAAACTAGTTATCGCTGAAATGAAAAGAATCAAAAGAAGTAAGAAAACAAATCTATTCTTACGTTATCGACCAAAGTTAAATCCAAGTCTCTACAACCAAGGAGACATTTTACGACATCAATATGACCGTGTTCTATTGCATACATTAAGGCAGTATTACCAGAAGTATCTTGAGCATTTATGTTAGCACCATGTGCAATAAGCAAAGAACAAATATCTACACCTCCATGTAATGCAGCTAACATAAGTGGAGATTGGCGAGCAGATGTATTTGTGCAGAGATTAACATCACCCATACTGAATAGTCGACTAAGTGTTTTTAAAGCACTAGAATCAGTTATCTGTAAGCAGCAAAAATTATTAAGGAAAATTATCAAAATATGAGAAATAATGATTAAAAACATACAATAATTATACTTTTACTGATAAGTATTTCAATTATAAAAATAAACGAAATTGAAAAATACGAATGTTTTTTGACTGATGCAACGGGTAAAAACAGAGAAATCAATATGATTTCTTCTGGTCAGTTTTATGTTTATTTCTAAATAATGTTATGGGCTATATGTCCCGGGGAAAATATTTAAAGATTTTTAATTTTATTTGCTACGATCATAAAATTCTTAGAAGGAAATGAGATTTCAACTTACATTACTAAGCGTAGCAATCATAATTGGTGAGAATCCAGATCGATTAATATGATCTGGATGAGCATGTCCAGTATCCAAAATCAGATTGACAACTTGCCAAGCACCATGACCAACGGAATAGTGCAGACAGGTACTGTTCTATATTTGCAAGAAAGAGGAGAATGAATGCATTAAAGCGATATTATTTTAATATACATATATACTTGTGAAAAATGAGAGTATGAGGGATTTATGAAAATTGAAGTACCAACACAGATCTAGCTACGATCAATTCGTGATTTAAACTGAGAAAAAATGAAAGTCACAGAAAACTGTAAAATTCGAAAAATAGTTCTACAGAAGAGAGGAAAGATTATAAACAGTTAATTTCCGTTCATTTTGCTTGCTTAAATTAAGTTTTAGAGGATAATTCTACATACTACTTACTGCGAATTTGACATTTCTAGTGTTAAGTGAAATGTTTTAGGTATTTTCTGGAATGAAACGATGGTGTATTACTTGTAGTGAACAGATAATGCGCAGACAGAAAATAAACTCACAAAGTTTCATAGGAAGGAAATTTCCACTGAAAAGAAGGCAACTAATATTACCCATATTGACAAAGCAATTAATTGGTTAAAAACTATGATAAAAAACAAACAACAGATAATATACCAAACTGACGACCTTGAGACAAATAGGACTGATTGATTAGGATGAGGTAGCGACTGTTGAATATATGAGCGATTTTTAAAATAGGATTACGGATATTCTGCCATCTTATGTCATGTTTTTTGGATGATACTTCTCATTTTAACTAATCTGGATGATAATGATTGCGGACCACCTACAGAATATGGGACCATCGAGAAAAAGAATACTATGTATCTATGGTCAGGAAATGACACGCAGTGAAGGTACAGAGTTCGGAGTGTTAGGGTTAGTGTTATGTCTTATGACCCGTCAAATATCACCAATTAGAACACCAACTTATACGACCTAGTCCCTGTGCGTTAACTATCATGAGTCTTTATTAGTACACTGTATAGTAGCTTCTCACCTAATCCATCCAGTTCAGTCCAGAACACAAATATCAGCCTTCACTATAAGAATCGTATATTTCGAGTATACTCGGTTTACATACAAGCAGACCAGATCGCATAACACCATAAAATGAAAAATAACAGTTATACTAAATCAAGCCAAAAGTGGTTTTGAATGTGAGAGACTGTAACTAATAGATTGGAAATAACTTAAGAACAGTAAATCATATAATAATAACCAATAGGTCCAATGAGAGCTTATGATAAAAGAAATATAAATATATATAACCTAGCTACTCAATAGTTATATAATAAATAAATAAAAATATACATTGTAACAGTCCAAAACTAGTTTACAGAATTTACCCATAAATTAGTCTTCTTCGAACACAACAGTTAAAACTATTAAGTTTAGGACGTTTACGGTTAGGAGTTTTACGTTTAAGATAATAGAGATAGACTGGTAGCATCCCGAAAGCCTAAATCTTTTGTGATTTTATCGTTTTTACGTAACATTCATTTCATTGACAGAATATGCATCCCGATTGATTAATAATTGACTAGTTAGTATCGAGATTACTCCTAGTATCATCCAAGACTGCCAATATGCTTTCAGTTCTAGCAAACGAATTATAGAGAAGTTATATTTTGTTTCCATTGGAGGCTCAAAGTGCATATGATAGTGAATTGTTAGAAACAGTGTGCGATTTGTTGAGGGCCAATTTGAAATTTTATGACGCAAATAAGCTTCGGCTCATACTAGTTTATTCTGTCCTGTACATTGCAAACTGGATCTCTAGCCGCAAGATTATTTATTTCATTTGCTGACCAAAAACCTGTCCATCACATAACCTTGTTATCTATATGAGAGAGGATTTTATATCAGCATATTTTGTTTAAGAATCACTGGTTTTCAATAGAAAAAGTTTAGTATTGCCCCTATTAGGATGAGACATGATGATGTTGACCTTAAACACATTTACAGAAAGCTTATATGAGTGAGACAGTGTCAACAGTGTCGACTTTCATGATTTCATTCCTATAAGCAGAAAAATATACAAACAGTAGTAATAAAATTCATTTTTAATTCACTGTTTCATTACATTTAAAACTGGTGACAAAACTTTCAAAAAACCTGTTTGCCTTAACTTAGACCATGTTAGTATGTATGCCACAGATTTAACTGTGGGTTATTCACGTTATATCCGAAGTCTCAAAAAATTTACAACCGAAATGTATGAATTCGGCAGTGAAATATTTGTGACTGCCTGTTGAAAGTCTTTTATACGAACTTTTAGTACGAGTTACATAACACTATATTGTGAATTCATATTAGTATGGAGCATTAAGACTTTATTACTAACGTATAAACCCTTTTAACAATGAAACGTTTTCCTCTCTACTGTTTTCTTTATTATTTATGAAGGCTTTAGACGGATTACACTTTGATCTACAATACCTATACTCGTGTTATAAAGTCACATGTTTTTTAAGGTAAGTCAGACAATCAGTAATCTCTCACTGAATTATCTATAAAGTTAAAATTAATACACAATAAATACAATCAAAACAACTTTTTTTACAAATATGATGTAGATAGTTTTCATTGCGATAATCATTTCGAATTTTATTTTGATAAACATTATCGACTGTATCACAGTTTCAAGATTAGAAAAAGGAGAGAGAGAGAGAGAGAGTATTCCTAACGAGTAAGTACTAACAATATAATGAATTGATTGTAGGAGGCTAAACAATAACTTTAATAACAATAATAATTCATTTTATAACTAATAAATGTTAGGAATTTGAGTTTAGATGATCGATCATTTGTTAAAATAATTATTTACTAATGAGGAGGTAGTTAGTACTTTACAAAGTTTAGTACACTTCATCGATTGTATACTTGTATAAGTGCACATACTATGTGTAAAATTTATCTTCTTTAAGATATATATATAACTACAGAAACAAACACATAAATTATTGTATGATTTCTTTAAATGATTCTTCTCATAAATTCAATATTTCATAAACCAAAATATTTTATTGTTCTAAATTGGGTATATCGACTAAATGGCATTATTGGTTTTAATAAAACTCTGCAATTGTATGGTTATTTTCAAAGTCTTGATTTATTTAAATGTAGATGACATCACTATTAAAAGAAATACTTTAAAATTTGTAATGAAACTAGGAGTATATACAAATATAACCTAATGACTTGAAATTTTTTGCTATAACTGATGAAGATAAAAGTTTTCAGTGATGATATGGCATTTACTAAATTCAAAGTGATTTTACGGATAAGAAGAAATCGTTGCTGGTATGTTTGCCATTATTACTATACTTCGTATATTAATCGACTGAACAATTGCTATTACTGTAATTTCTCAATAGTGTATAATTTCCAGAAGGTGAAATAAAGTAGGTGAACCATCTCATTTTAACGAACAGATAAAATCATGGTGCCAGAAAGCACATGGCATGGGGGATAAGTGAACACAGCTTGAAAAGTGAATATGTTATGTGTATGCCAATGAGTCGCCAAGTTTTTGAGCAATCGATAAACGGATATAGCAGACAGATGCGTAGGCTGATATATGAATTCAGCAATATATTGTGGTGAATGCTATTCATAAGAATGCTTGTAAGTAGTATGTAGCGGAACGTGCTGTCAAGGTTGTCACAGTCATCGAAAGGAGAGAAGAGTTTCAGTAGATTGAAAGCATGGCACAGGCAAAAGAAGACAGTTCGGTTTGCAGAACAAACCGAAACAGGAAAATAGATGATCGAAGACTGTATATACGTATTACGTAAAGGCTTTGTATACGATGTTGATTAGTTGAAGTAAAATTATAAACTTCACCTTTTTTTTCTTATGTTCTTAGTTATAATAAGTAAACACCTATATGAGAACAAAATATTGAAGAGGGGAAGAATAAAACATACGTTTTCATCGATGGATTGAATTACATCGCGTAACAGAGATGGTGAATGATCATGAAGAATTGCAATGAAATCTTCAATGCTAAGTAAGTCTATTTGTGATGTTGCAGCAAGTTCAAACCAAATTTTCACTAAAGTCAGAAGTTTATCTTTCTACAAGGTTGAAAATACAAACAGGGAAAATATGAAGAACAACATAAGTCTTCGAAACAAATGATGTAATAGTTGGAAAATCTAATGACATAAACTATGTTTTAGAACAGACTGATGAAAAAGTTGTTTCACACACATTATTATTGTCTTAATTTCGCATGAATAAGGAACGTTTTCTGTAAGAAACCTGTGGTCTCAAAGTCGATATTAACAGATAATTTCATTAAGATGCCTTGATTACCTTGGAGTACGTTGATGACTTTGTTCCACGAAGTAAGGATGCCGAGAAATTGCAAGGGCAACACTTCAAGAGTCCAGTGTAACAAAACTTATTTCAACTACCAAAAGTGAACTGGTTGACCGCATTCAATGATTCATTTATTGCCCGACTATTGCTGCTACCTTGACGTGGCGGTCGAGCTTGCCCAACGCGATGAGCCAACCGGAACTATACTGGCTAGAGCAATCGTTCCTTAAGATCTTAACATGCCAGACAGATCGGTTGAAGAGCGGTAAGACTGAAAGCAGCAAATCCAAGGTTCGACAGTGAAGTCGTACCGCTGACTATACAGAGATGTGACGACAGCAAGGTTCTTCCTTCAGACAACCAGCATAACAGCGATGGTGCCTTCCTGTAAAGGAATGATGGGGTAAGAAAAGGTCGACCCTAAAAACACACACATCGCTTTATTCAACGAATTTCCGTCTCCGTCGGTAAGGTTTCAACAAGTACGGAGCTAACACAAAAATTACTCACAAAATGGTCGTGTGACCGGCCTCAAGCAGTTGTCCCTTGGGTACTGCGATCATACTCTCAGATCACTAACACCACCCCTAACCCAATTTTTATTTCAGGTACCTCCAGAAGAACCCTTCCACGGTGTGGGAAACGAAGAAATGATAACCACCTTCATACCTATAATAGCACTCAAGACCATCGTATTCATAATCAATTCCGATTATTTCTCCTTTTCTGAAAATCAACTCAGTACTTCCTCCCCGAATGTCACCATGGCCAACGATTCTAAAGCGCAAAACACTGTCTCAGGTCCGCTGAAACCTCGACCCAAACTACACAATAGAGCCCTCAATGTACGCACTCTACGTCGAATAGGCCAGCACGCCTCTTTGGCTAAGACCTTAGATGTATGTTGCGTCTCCAAAATGTGCATACTGGATCCTAGTGTGATCATTCACTTGACCATAATTAACAAAAACGAGGAACTAATGAGATACACATTCTGTCTATCCGGCCGTCCGATGGTAAGTTCTTATGGACTGAAGGGTGTAGGCACAGCACTAAGTATGAAGGAACAACAAGGACTTTTAGAATGGATTCCTGTTAACAGCCGCCTATGTGCTGTTCGGTTAAACAGTTCTATAACAACACGGAAGGAGAGCGATACACATCGTTGCATTTTCGTTGTTCCTGCCTACGCTCACATTGACTGCAGGAAATTTTCTGAAATTCTTCTAAAAGCTAAACACTCAGACATAGTACAAGGCACAGGAAACTTTAATGCTCAAGTAGATAGCTAAAATGGTCTGAATTATTTTTTTCTGGTTAGAGTTGGTGCAAAGTCGTGCATGGAGGACAGCTGACCGACGCAATCCAAATAAGGACCGGAGTCAGGAAAGGGCTTTCTACTCTCTCCTTTCCTCCTTCTTCTGGTGGTCGACTGCATTATGAGGACCTCGGCATCTGAGGGAAAACACGGCATACAATGGACAGCTCAAAACCATTTAGACGACTTAGACTTCGCAGATGCCCCCAAATGCCCTGGTACGGCCCAGAGTGGGGAGAGTCCGCTCTCCCTCTCGAAATACTCTCACACGGCCACGCGTATACAGCCTCTACTAGGGAAGTCCTACTCATTGCCTTCTCGTGGCGGGGGTGTTGTTTACGAAAATGAGAGGACGAAAAGTGAATGTCTGGCGCTTTAACCGGATCCCAAACCAATGGTGCACATGGGCTCCAGTATCCTGCGGGAACAAATGGCGTATGAACCAATCGTTGGTCACCGGCTTCCATGGGACTGCATCTCCTTACGATGTTTCACTGCCTTGTGGGTTGAACATTTAGGTCAAAGTGATGAGATCAATGCACGTATAGTGAAAGCCAGAGCAGCTTATGCCAATCTGGGCCACCTTTGGCGCCTTCGTGATGTTAGTCTGGCTGTAAAAGGCCGGATCTACAACGCGTCGGTGAGAGCAGTTTTGATCTATGCTTGTGAAACCTGGCCTCTCCGAGTTGAGGACGTTAGACGACTCTCTGTGTTCGATCATCGCTGTCTCCGAAGGATTGCTGACATTCAGTGGCAACACCATGTCAGTAATGCAGAGGTTCGGCATCGTGTGTTCGGGCACAGAGACTATAACTCAATTGGTGTCACCATCTTGAAACATCGACTTCGGTGGCTTGAACATGTTCTCCGAATGTCGTCCCAGAGGATTCCACGTCGTGCATTATTTGCCGACTCTGGGACTGGTTGGAAGAAGCGGAGAGGTGGTCAGTATATGACATGGTGTCGTGACATGAAAGAAAGCTGCAAAGGACTGGCTTCTGTTGGTCCCTCACGACTCTTGGTTGGGATCTGAGAGATGGTGCTACACAATGGCTAGAGACGTTATCAGATATGGCTCAGAATAGAAGCCAGTGGCGATCCTGCTGTAACCTTCTTTTACTTTCTTCATAAAAAGTGGTTGTGTTTCCCTTATCTGAAAGATTTCTTCTGATTGTACCTTTCCGTTCCCTCATTACTACCACAACACCTTACACCAATCTCTTCATCATTGTTCTCTTTTTTTACGCTCCTTATTTTTTTTCTTTTTTCTTCGAATTCTCATTGTTTTGTGTGGCACATATATATTGGCGCTCTCTTGTACCAATATTTATGTGTTCAAATAAATAAATAAATACATGGTTTATGTACTTCTAAGGTACACCTTTCAATGACAGACACTGCCACAAAATCTCGCGGTCTACGGAGTTAAATGCTGCTTTTAAGTCAAGAAAGACCATTGTTGGACACCGATAATCATGCCTGTGTTTTAAAACCTGGCGAATGGTGAATATGAGCAAAACTGTTCTCACCGACGCGTTGTAGATTCGACTCTTTACAGCCAGACTAACATCACGAAGGCGCCAAAGATGCCCCAGATTGGCATAAGCCGCTTTGGCTTTCACTATACGTGCATTGACCTCACCACTCACACCCTCACCAGCACTTATGCAGCTACCCAGATACACGAACTTCTCGACTACTTCTATCTGCTCACCATCCAGGGTGAGTACAGGATTACGATCCTGCCAGTCTTGTAGAAGTACTTTGCATTTCGAAGGTGCAAAGCACATACCATACCTACGGACACTGATTGCCAACTGATTAAGTGCGGATTGTATGGCTTGAGCATTATCGCACAGTAAGACAATATAATCCGCATACTCAAGGTCGAGAAGTCTTTCTCCAGGCAACAGATCCACACCTCTACTGCTTACATCCATCAGAGCTGTTTCCAGAATGTTGTCGATGGCCAAGTTGAAGAGGAATGGTGAGATTGGGCAACCCTGCCTAACCCCACTGCTCGAATGGAACAATGGAGAGAGGTGGTTGTATGCCCTCACTCTGCCTGAGGTGTTTTTATACAGGGCTTTTAGGATGTTAATAAACTTCTCAGGCACACCCTTCTTCAATAGACAACCCCAGAGAACAGTCCTGTCCAACGAATCGAAGGCAGCCCTGATGTCAAGAAACACTACGATTGTTGGCCTGTGATAAGTATGACGGTGTTCTAACATTTGACGGAGGGTGAAGATATGATCAATACATCCTCGACCTGAACGAAAACCAGCCTGCTCCTCGTAAGTCAATCTTTCTTTGGTTCTGAACAACCTACGAAGTATGACGGAAGCCAATAGCTTGGACGCAATCGGAAGTAGACTTATCCCCCGATAGTTGTTACAGTAAGGACGTGAACCCTTTTTAAAGATAGGGATAACTATCGACTCGTTCCAGGACCTTGGAACACTCTCTAGTTCCCAAACCTTTGTAAACAACGTCGTCAATTCCTTAGTCAAAAAGTCACCACCATCTTTAAGAAGAGCCGGAGGTAAGTCATCTGGGCCAGGTGATTTGTAACGCTTCAAGAGTTGGAGTTCCTTGCAGACTTCCGCCTCATTTGGTGGATCAGTCGTCACCGGCCATGGAGGGCAGGACAGTCTGACCGATGTTGCCGGAGCAGCAGGCCAGTTGAACTGCCCTTCGAAAAATTCTGCCCACCGTCCAACACGTCGATGGATGTTAGTGATTGGCATCCCATCATCCTCGCAGATTGTTTCACTCACACCAGACTTTTTGCTGCCAGTGGCTCGGATGAGTTGGAAGAGCTTCCGGTAGTTACCAGATGCAGCTGCTGCTTCCAGCTCATTAGCACGCTTCGACCACCAGGCTTCTCGGTCCTTACGCAAGCTTTGCCCAATTTCATTACGTAACATCCTTCGTTTATGGTCAAACTCACGGTCACCTGGAGAAGACCGACGGGCTTCAATGAGTTGCAAGGAACCAGAAGAAACCCAGTGCTTATAAGCGGGACGTTTCGCGAACCCACAACTGACTGTACCCGCCATTTTCATGGCGTCATGCAATTGCAACCAATGCTCATCTATACTTTTCGATGGAATGGTAGCTAGCCTAGAAACTAGCTCGGTTCGATACTTACTTGCAACAGAAGTTGCCACCAGCTTGGTAACATCAATCTTTTGGTGGTGGTCACTTCGTTGGCCACTGAAAAGTAAGGCAAGATTGGCGCAGACCAAGGCATGGTCAGAGTCCAGATAGTTACTCCCCAAAAGGAGCTGCAGTCTTGTACACAACCACGCCAGCGGTAGCTGATCGCGATGTGATCAATCTGAATCCAGGCTTGGGATGCAGAGGGAGGACGCCAGGTGGCACATCGGCGATGACTGTGCCGGTAGTTAGTGCTAGCCAGAAACAGTTTGTGGTCAGCGCACAGTTGCAGTAGGCGGTCCGCATTATCTGACCTGCGACCAACAAGTCCCCATTGACCTCCTAAACGACTCTCTTCTGTGCCTAGACGCCCGACCTGAGCATTCAAGTCTCCGGCTAGTACTACAATATCTGTCGAACGCACTTTCTGGAGAAGAACAGATAACTGGTGGTAAAACTCATCCTTGATTGCATCCGGGCTGTAATCTGTCGGGGCATAGGCGGAGATGACGAAAAGACATCGTTTCTCACACCGATTTCTCACTTTGATGGAACTTTCTAATCTAAAAGCACATAACCGACTGTTAATGGGGATCCAGTCGATTAGTGCTGCCTCAGCTCTAGCGTTCAGTGCGACACCAACACCAGCAAGACCAGACGAAGAAGCCACAGGGTCCCCGGATAAGCGCACGTAAAACAAGCTTTTCGAAGCGACATATGGAGAGCAAATTTGTATTACTTCACCAGAGTCTTGAATACGGGTCTCGGATAGACAACAGACGCCTATATTAAAACTTTCCAAAGACATAGCCAGCCCTATCTGTTGTCCAACCTGCATAAGTGTGCGAACGTTGAAGGCAGCCAGTTTGAATGGCGCACGTGGTTTCAGAAAAACTGCTTCAGTACTCATATTCAGTGGAAACATGTAATTTTCAACCGGACAGTGACTTGAGAACGTTTAGATACAGTCAGACTTCCACCAAAGACGAGCCGTTGTATAAGTATAAAAGAGGGTGAATAATGTGGTAAATAATGATAATAATATTAATAATAATTAATAATAGTAATAACAATAATAGTAATAATAATGACAATAATAGTAATGATAATAATTTGAATCATTTGATTGTTTTTCGAAGCGAGAAAATTAGTTTCCATAGATATTGAGAGTTCATCATTTGCGTGTGGGCTGTGATACTGCCCGGGTGCACAGATTGAAGCAGGTGATTATCTTAGGGGGTCACTCCCCGAGCCTTCGACCTAAAGGTCTAACCCACAAGGCAGTGAAACATCGTAAGGAGATGCAGTCCCATGGAAGCCGGTGACCAACGATTGGTTCATACGCCATTCGTTCCCGCAGGATACTGGAGCCCATGTGCACCATTGGTTTGGGATCCGGTTAAAGCGCCAGACATTCACTTTTCGTCCTCTCATTTTCGTAAACAACACCCCCGCCACGAGAAGGCAATGAGTAGGACTTCCCTAGCAGAGGCTGTATACGCGTGGCCGTGTGAGAGTATTTCGAGAGGGAGAGCGGACTCTCCCCACTCTGGGCCGTACCAGGGCATTCGGGGGCCTGTGAAGGCTCTTTACTCGAACATTACTAATCGAGTGAGAGCTTATGACGAACAGTCATTTGATTTTGCAATCTCAAGTGGTGTCCGTCAAGGCTGTCCACTATCTCCATTTTCGTTCAACTTCATCATAGACATACTGATGGATATAATGTTCTCGTCGACTGAATTTTCGGGGGGACCGTCAAACCAAAACGTGGTATCAGTCCATGAAGTCACTAACTTCTGATCTGAGCCATGTCGGTAGATGCGGACTATTTAGTGAGGGTTCGCGCGACTATCGTGTCCTTATATGCAATCTCTTTTTTATACATATCGCTATTATTGAAGTAACTGCTTTTATGACTTTGGTGGTCATTTTTTTGTGCTAATGAAGTATGAAAACTTGGACCGATGGATATATGTGCCTGATCCTGCGTTGTAGCTGACTGACTGACTGTATTTATTATTTATTTCGATAAGCTGATAGCCAGTAAAACATCACCATGGATTTATAAATCTCGTCAGATATTGACGGGTTCATAATACTCATAGAACAGATAAGTATATACATATTAAAAAGACTTGAGTTTTGAAGTCAATAGGCGAACTGTACTCGACTCCATATGGGTATAACTTTACTGATGTGTTCAGAGAATCAACAGTGCATCATAGAATTATGTAAATATCAGACTACGAGGGAGGCGTATTGATCGAAAAGGTGAATTCAACGATATACCTGACCCCAACAGAACACTTGAAGTAATGTTGATTAAGATGGAGTTGGTCGCAAGAGGATATACCAAAAAAAGATAAGTAACTAAATGTAAATCTTCAGGCAACTGAGTTTTGATATTCCAGGATAAAACCAGCTGATGATCAAATTGTGAGCCAATAGGGTATTCATTATGTATGATCAGCCACCACTAATCTCGATTCGCGATGTTGGGTAATGTGTGAATTGGAAAAAAGTTAGAAGGTGCCCAAACCGAAACGTAACATCAGTCCATGAATTTATTGACGGTTGATCTGAGTAATGGTGGTAGATATACATTACATAATCGGGTTCAGCCCGATGATCGTGACCAATGGTTTGAGATATTGGGTGACAGTTACAACACTGCAGATTCATTCACTCTTACCTCCTCAGTTTCAAAACTATTCCATACTTTATGTTCCGTAAGCTAATCATTCTCGAAACATATTTACTGTGTCTAATCTTCTCTACAACCACTGGCAATACTACTTCATTTCCCATTCTGAGAAATATCATGATAATTTCGTCTTACTGTCCTGATGTAATATGACAACTAGAATCGATGGATATTTTGTGCTAAGTCCTATGATGCTTATGACTCACTAATTAACTGAAACATTTAAACCTTTTAATTAGATAATATAATAAGCACGGTTCGTTAAAGGAATTTTCTGTTCTGATAGTTAAAAGCTGATGAACAGTAACATACCATTTCCTCTGCTCTACCAACAGTTGGTTCAGCTTGATAGTAACCAATTAAAGATTCACATGCTTTTTTTGCTTCATTTGATAAAATGAACCTGTAAAAAATATTCCAGAAAAAACAATGACAATTTAATATTTCTTGTGAGACTATCAAAACAACATTTGGGCAAACGTCAATTAGTTTGAGACCACAGAGTTTGTTCTTGACTATCAAACACCCTTAGTTGCTTTCATGTTTTTTATAAATGTATATAAGTATAACCGTATGTATAATGGGGAAACCTGATAGATATAATTGAAACCAATGTGGTTTGACTATATGTCTTGTTTAAATTTACAAAAAGGGAATCTTCAGAATAGGAATTTGTGGAGATTGTAGTAATTTAATAGTTGAATTCATGAGTCGATTAAAGCTAGAGTACCATGGAAAACCTGGAAGGACTGAACGGCCATTTCGTCCTAGTATGGGACTCCTCAAAAGTGCGCGTCGACGACCCCGCGCGCGAACGCTTGACCTCTAGACCACTGAGCCAGCATCTAACGGTGTTTATGTCTAACTTCAATCTACGATATGGCGCGGTGAACGACCAACTTTTTTATAACTTATAGATAAACATTTTTCGAGTATTTTATAAAATTTATTTCCCAAACTTTCTAATTTTATTAGAATCACGAACCGATCAATGTTAGACCATCAGTGAAAACATGAAAATACTGGACAGCCGTTTCGCCATAATGTGGGACTCCTCAAAAGTGTGAGTCAACGACCCCGTGAGTGGAAATCAAAACCCGAACTTTCGGTTTCATACGTAAGCTCTTAACCTCTGAATCGCTGGACCGGTATCCAACGATGTTAATGTTTAACTTCAATCTACGATATGGCACGGCCATCTAATTTTTCAACTGTGGTCTAACATTGATCGGTCTATGATTGCGATGATGCCCGACAGTCTCCACAACCATATACTTTTATTTTTACTGTTTCTCGATGTTCTTAGAGGAAATATTCTCAATTCATGAAGAAATAATTTGCCGACAAACTTTTTGAAAAAAAAGTCGAAGTTATAGATGCACTGGAACTTAATTGAACAATACAATAGAACAGTTAAAACGCATAGATACTCACTGAATCTACATTTAACGCATGGATAAAAAAATAAATAACTAGATATACCAGCTTCTACTGTTATTAAAAGCAAAGAACGAGGACTGATAACTGATTAGGAATTAAAATAACGTTTTACAATTGTTTAATCACTGAGTTTTAACCAATATCACTTTTCTCTAGTCCTTCGGTACTGATTAAACCACATCGATCAAGTTGCAATGCAGCACCACTAGTCTAATTAACTTGAAATCCAAAGCAACACATATTGAGACAGACTGGGTGACACTGGTCTGAATTTAACAGGAAGCATACGTTCCATAAAAATTACAGGTTTACCTTATTGATGAGTCCCAAACAGCATGAAACCTAGGTCCAGAGATCCCTGTCGAATACTTCGAACAACATAACTCGTTAAAGTTACATAGTATTATTCCATAAGCAGGGGTTTTATTTAATCATTATGAATGAGATTTTAAGCTTTGAAACACTGATCTAGGTTGTTTCAAAATCTCCTTACCGGTAATTACGTACAGGAATCCAAGAGACAGCAGTAGGTTTCAGAATTTCCATACTATGAACTCTGAAATACAAATAGATGACATTTAGAAATTTAAACACTTTTCAAATTAAAGGTTAGGTAGAACTGAATATTTCTTGATTGGATAAATCAATTTGATTTAATAAGATACAAATCATCATACAATTTATGAACAAGCAAATTGAAGCATTAATTAATTTGATATTTTTCTAAACAGATTATTCAGTACTCGGTTGCTGCAGACGTCGGATGCCTAAATATAGTATATTAGGAAGAAAGCAAGCTTAAGATAATGTAATGATTAATGTGTCTTTCGTTCATTTGATTTTCACACTAATTCAGTTTGACGTTCCTTCAGTATAATATTTATCAGTATTAGCTCAGCGTAACAATTTCGTTAATCAATAATTAATACGGGTAATTCTGCATACAAATAAGCGAATTCGAATGGTGGAATAATCTTCTTTGATTTTTGTCAATAAAATCTTTCCAAGATTTTATTTGGTAGTGAGAGTTAGAAGTAAGAAGGAGCTGTGGTATCTTACAGTAAAACGTTATCACTATTAGCGCAAAACATATCACCAGTAGAAAAACAGAAGCCAATTACATTTTTTAAATAAAAATGGGGTTTGGGTTTTTTTATTTAACCAAAGAGCTAGCCAGAAAACATGACTGAGAAAGAAAACTCAAGCATCTGTTTCATCAGATTATGGGATCTTTAAGTAGTGAAGTTGTGACAACTCAGTCAGTCAGTCAGCTACAACGTAGGACCAGGCACATATGTGCATCGGTCCAGGTTGCCATACCGCATCAGCACAACAAGATGAACACCGGATTCATAGCAGTGGTTAGGTCAAAGGTAGTAATATGTAAGAGAAAGATTGCATATAGAGATATAGTACAAGAAGAAAGAATTGGTTCGTAGAAAGAAAGATATGAAGCGATTTTAATCTCTTAGTTTAAGGGAAGACAGGGAGTGTATACACCGACGCCATTGTGATCGATTCTGAGCAATGTCACCAAGAGTCTCCAACCATTGGTTACGATAGTCACGCGGACCCCAACTAAGTAGTCTGCATCTACCAACATGGCTCAGACTAGAAGTTAGTGACTTCAAGCACTGATGCCACGTTTCGGTTTGGCCGCCCCTAACTTTCTTCCAACCATCCCCTACCCCGGTTAGCATTGCACGTCGTGGTAATCGGTGTTCAGGCATACGTAATACGTGGCCCAACCATCTCAGTCGATGAAGATTCATAACCTCATCAACTGATTTACCATCATTCCCTAATACCCTGCGTCTAACCTCACTATTACTTACCCGGTGATAACAGCAGACGCCAGCAATATTTCTAAGGCATCTGTGGTCAAATACTAGTAGCTTAAGAGTGTCTTCTACCCTTAATGGCCATGTTTCGCTGCCGTAAATTAAAACAGAACGGACTGCCGCGCAGTATACTCGTCCTTTTATTGATAGACGGATATCTCGCCTTCGCCATAGGTGGCGCAAGTTGGCAAAAGCCAATCGAGCTTTTCGAATCCGTGCTGAGATTTCGTCCGATACCAACCCATTAGGGCTGATCAGACTTCCAAGATAAGTGAAGTTGTCAACGCGTTCGAATACTTCACTCCCTATCCTTAGTTCAGGTGTTAACGCAGACCAGTCCTGAAGCAACAACTTGCATTTAGAGGGAGAGAAGCGCATTCCAAACATTCTGGCATTGTTGCTCAGTGCTACCAGAAGACTCTGCATTTTGTCAACGTCTTCACCAAACAGGACTATGTCATCTGCGTATTCTAAGTCGATAAGTGGACCTTCTGGAAGGAGATCAATACCCGAGAACTCAGTCGACGAGAAAGTTATTTCCATCAGTAGATTTATGATGAAGTTAAACAAAAATGGGGAAAGTGGACAGCCTTGACGGACACCACTTGAGGTTGCAAAAGTAGATGACAGTTCGCCATAAGCTCTGACTCGACTAGTAGTGTTCGAGTAAAGAGCCTTCACAAGGTTTATGTACTTCTGGGGTACGCCTTTCAATGACAGACACTGCCACAGAATCTCGCGGTCTACCGAGTCAAATGCTGCTTTTAATTCGAGAAAGACCACCATTGTCGGACGCCGATAAGTATGCCTGTGTTCTAGAATCTGACGAATGGTGAATATGTGGTCGGTGCAGCCACGACCAGGTCTAAAGCCAGCTTGGTTCTCTCGTGTTTGCAGTTCACGAGTCTTAGTTAGGCGTCTGATAATTATCGAGGCTAGTATTTTAGATATTATATTAGTTAGACTAATCCCTCTGTGGTTGTCACAGGATGATTTTGACCCTTTCTTATATATTGGGACGATAGGTGATTGTGACCAGTTAGATGGAATAACGTCTAACTCCCAGATTTTAGCTAAAATATTAGTCAACCTAATCGCTAAAATTGGACCACCATCCTTAAAGACCTCTGGAGCCAATCCATCTGGACCAGCTGCCCTTCCTCGTTTTAGATTAACTATAGCCTTTTGAACTTCAGCAAGAGTTGGGGGACCTACTTCAATGTTCCATTCACACTGTCTGGGAATGGAGGGTAGTTGTAGAGTAGCTGAAGGCCAGCTGAACTGTTCTCTGAAATGTTCCGCCCATCGTTCTAAACGCCTGGACTGGGAGCAGATGAGTGTATCGTCTTTTTCCGATATAATCTCACTTACACTTGACTTATTAATTCCAGTTTCTTTTATTAGTCTGTAAAGCTGTCTTGTGTTCCCTATAGTCGCCGCCTTTTCCATCTCTTTTGCTTTCGTTGCCCACCACTGCTCACGGTCGTTTCTTAGACTTTTTCTTAACCTAGATCTGATTTGTTGTCGCTCTTCATCATGTTCGGAACCTGATGGGACGAGTTTGCGAGAATCCATCAGTGTGATACACTTTGAAGAAATCCACTGGTTCTTTGAAACTCTGTGGTTTAAGTTGCTAATAGATGTCACTGCTGCTTCCACAGCTGCTTGTATATCTTTCCAAGCAACATCTGGGTCAGCCTCGTCTTCAGAACTACCTAATTGTGACATCAGTTGTTCCTGGAACCTACTTTTGGTTTCCTCGCTACTCAGTTCGGTTCTAATGGGTCTTTTTACTGTGGCTTTTTTGCGTCCAGTGAGGCGCAAGCAGATGCGTGCCCGTATTAGGGCGTGGTCGGAGTCCAAGCAGGTACTCCAGAATGAGCGACAATCTTGTACCGACCCTCTCCAACGATGACTGATGGCAATATGGTCTATTTGAGTCCATCGCTGGTTTGGTGTAGGGGGTCGCCACGTTAGACGATGTCTCTCTTTATGCTTAAAATTTGTGTTTGCTAAAAATAAGCGATTGTCTGAGCACAGTTGCAGCAGACGGTCACCATTATCTGTTTGCTGTGTCGGAATACTAAAATATCCACCTAAATGCCTTTCTGTTTGGTTTAAGCTACCTATCTGAGCATTAAAGTCACCCCCTACGAGTACTGTGTCTGAGCGTTTAGCTTTCTGAAGAAGTTCGGACAGCTTTCTGTAAAATTCATCTTTCACATCATCTGAGCTGCAGTCAGTGGGAGCGAAAGCAGAAACGACGAAAAGGCAACGACGTGTGTCCCTATCCTTCCGAGTTTTTACGGAGCCGTTTAGCCGAACAGCACATAAGCGACTGTTGACGGGGATCCACTCTAGCAGTGCTTGTTCCGCCTTCATGCTTAGTGCTATGCCTACACCTGCCAGTCCACGAGAACTGGCCATCGGGTCACCAGATACACGTAGGGTGTATCTCGTTGGCTCTCCGTTTTGCCGAGGTGAGGTCAAGTGAATGACCACACTGGAATCCTGTATGCGTGTTTCGGAGACACAGCATACATCAATGGAAAGAGACTCTAGGGTTTTAGCCAAGGAAGCCTGCTGACCGATTTGACATAGAGTGCGTACGTTGAAAGCTCCAATGTGTAGTTTGGAGCGAGGTTTCAGTAGACCTGGGACAGAGTTTTGAGCACTAGAATCGTTGGCTATGGTGACACTTGAGGAGGAAGCCGAAGGAGGAAGTTTAGGGTTGAAAGTCGATGTAGGAGGAATAATAGGAATTGAAGAGGAAGGTTGATTATGAATACAGTGGTCTTGGGTGCTGTTAGAGTTATGAGGGCGGTTATCACTTCCCGGTTGCCCACACCGTGGAAGGGTTCTTCTGGAGGTACCTGAAAAGGAAATTGGATTAGTGGCGGTCTCAGTGACCTGAGAGCGTGACCGCAGTGCCCAAGGGGCAACTGCTTGAGGCCGGTCATACACGACCTTTTTGTGGAAGGTTTTTGACGTGTTAGCTCCGTTCTTCAAAGGGCCTTACCGCCGGAGACGGAAATCCGTGAGGTAAGGTGAGGTGCGCATTTTTAGGGTCGACCTTTTCTAACCCCACCCCTCCTTGTGAGAAGGCAGCATCGCTGTTATGCTGATTGTCCGAGGGAAACACCTTACTGCTGTCACACCTCTGTACAGTCAGCAGTACGACTTCGCCTTCGGACCTTGGGTTTGTTGCTTTTAGTCTTACCGCTCTTCAACCGACCTGTCTGACATGGTAGGACCTTGAGGAACGGTTGTTCCAGCCAGTATAGCTCGGTTGCTTCATCACGATAGGCAAGCCCGACCACCACGTCAAGGTAGCAACAACGGTCGGGTGACAACTAAGGTCTGTGGAATTTAAAAATGAGACAAAAGCTCACTATTATCCGTATTCAGGTTGTTTAATGACTAATAGCGATTCGTTATGAGTGTTATTACATAAAAAACATCATGTAAAAACCTGCTTAAAACATGCTGATGAGATTCGGAGAAACAGATTACTTTTGCTATTGTCGTAACCCTTTTGGGATACTATAGTAAGGCTGTAAACTGCTCGAATGATGCATACCATACTATGCAGTTATATTAAGTCATGTAGTGCACTCATCTGTCTCCATGTAAGATCACTAGTTTTATAATAATGACTTAGAAAAAATGAAACAGCTACTTTTAAAGCCAATTCTTTGCACAAATGAAATAATCGGAATTACAGCAACTATACACATAAAGGCCTAAAGACTTTATTTATCATCTTTACTATATCCTCGTAATAGTCGGTTTAATCAGGAAATGATGGTAATGCATGATGAGGTGCTAATAAACGCACGAAAGCCAAATTTGAAATGAATACCCCAAGAAACGAATGTAGAAGCATCAAGTTATGCATTCGAATAAAACTTACTAACTAATTTTTGAATAGTTGAAAGTTCGGCTCTTAAAACCACTGAGTTTTCGCTTCATAAATTTATGACATCAACGTTTAATGTGACACAAATGTGTCTAATCCGTTCCCTCACCAAAAATATTATTAATGACCGGGATGATTACATATTCAAGTACACTTCAGGTTTATGTTTCCTTTGAGTGAATAAAGTATAAAAGGTGTAGAATAAGTAGTCTTTATGATGACACTTGTTGACTAGTCATTGGTTTTTTGTATATCCCTTATAACTTATCAAAGTTGCTATACTAAAGTGAATAGTATTGCCTATTATGACAAATGAATCAAGGTGTGTTCGTTGAAAACACAATCCTTGTCATTTTGTTGTTTCATACAGGTCTCTTACTATTAGGTCCAGATACTGCCTATCCACAGATAAGAAGGAACGGAAAATACTGACCTGAGAAGACCGTACCGCCTTATTGCCCCATTAATTTCTAGTCTCAGAGGTAAGGCCTGTAAACTAGAGAGTTGGTTAGTTGAAAGGTACCGACAAAAACGTCCTTATAACGTCTCTTAAGCCAATATACCTTAGGTTTGCTCTATAAGGTCAAAAAGCCTTCACTTCTAATTTGAGTTGTTTTGAAATCCCTCAAGAAATAATCATAACAGGTATGGATAACCGCCTGAACACCTGTAACAGAACTTTAATTAGTTTTTGATCACAGTACTATTTATATCGCGATGATGGTAGCAGTTATCGAACAGAACATACCTTAATAATGATAAAAAATGAGAGACAAGAGAATGAGGATTTAATGAAGATACTTACTTGGAATATGATGGTTTTGGAACTGACTCGGGGAGTTTTGCAGTTTGTCCATGAATAATAGGTATTAATACGGGTGGCGTAGTAGGAGGATCAGAAGTCAATGGATTAGATAAACCGGAACTATGGCGCACTCTGTGATCAGATTTCAAATTAATAAAATCAGGGGAAAGAGGAAACCCAGGAGGTGAATTTACTCGAAATGGGGATAGCATTTCATCTGGCAAAGTAGAAGGATCAACTTCTTCAATTTCATCACCGATATGATGAAAAACTTCGACCGTTGGTTGGAATTCTTTTATAACATGAGTACTTCCTAAATCAACACTTTTTGACATAACATCCTGGAATGCAGTCTGCCCACCAGAACTTAGTTCATCTACATTTACTTTATCCGAGAGCATATAACGTTGTGAAAGTTCATCGACCATACGTCTTTCAGTAGATACAGTATAACCCTCAGAATAACTCGATGTACATGAAGGCAGTCTCGATAATGGAATCATTGTTTGGCTTAACCTTGGAGAATCACATCTCGATGGTCTAGTAATGCAAACAGAATTCGAATCATTTGTCTCTTGAATACTCGGAAGTTTTTCAGTCTTCTACAAGAAAATCGAAAAAGTTATGTAAATAATTATATCGTTAAAAGACGGCGGATATTTCATAGGAACTGAATATTAGGCACTATGAAACGTAACTTTGGGTACTTTTTTACGTCTAGTGACTGGATTGTTTCTAACTTAAATGAATAATGGTTTACTTCGAAATCAATATACATACTCTTGATATGTTCGAGTGGATAACGATGTAGATTAAATTATTCTTCAGTTCTATAGAGATATAAAAATTTATATCACAGTGTTTACTAATCAGTCATAATCAATGTGCAACCAGATACAAATGTTCATCACTTCAAGTTAATAAATCATTTCAACAGAGACATAAAATTAACAAGATAAATTGCGCACAAGTCGGAATAAAAGTATCAAAAACGATGACAAGACCAAACATAGAAAATACGGATCGGAAAGAAGGAATTAAATAAGGAAAAAGCAAAACACTATCTTGAAACCTAAAGAATGGATGGATACGAGCCATCACAATAGACTTATAAACCATGTCACAAGTTCAGTTACTGTCAGTCTTGCCACAAGATCCAAATATTGGAAATCAGTGAGTGTCATATATGTGTAACGGTATGTGCCGGTTCTTCATAAAGCAAATAATGACACAGGAAATGCATGTATGAAAGTAGTTTAAATTTAACAAAATAAGCTCTACAGAAGATTGGGATTCAAACAGATACGTGCAACGATAAAGAATACAGTAAGAGAGTGGAACGGTTTAAGTTACCACGCTTTGTAGCACAATAGATTTAACAAAAGGATGAAAATAGTAGACGGAACAGAAACGACATGCTAAAGGATAGTAAAGACTTTGAGATTTAGAAGAAAGGACGATCCATTTGTTCTTCTGTGATACTTTCTAGCAGCTTACAATTACCTACAAGTCCTGTAACAATAGTCAACAATTTCATATGTCAACGAAATTTCTGATCTAGTCAACCTTAACATAGTTAAATCCTAATCGTCATACATTTCTATTGTCCATAGTATGAAGCAGATTAGCGTGTATGATACATGCCTCACATCAAGTGTTCCGTCTTTGTGGATGTTTACAATCTCATGTTATTTACCTGTACGAGAAGTCTCAGAACAACATAGTGGGGTAAATAAGACTACTAACCAAGATAAGTGCCTTTCGATATGTACATGAATACTTCGCTAAATGGGCCGATTCGGAGGGTTTCAAAAAGAGATTCAGCATCTGTATTAAAATTTAGATAGATGAGCATGAGTATAAACCGATACTTAAACAAAACAATGCAACAATTAGAACTAATGCAAGACGCATACAAATTATATATTTAGCAAGCCTGAGAACAGCGACTAACCTCAAAGGATTCTGTAGATCGGTAGGATTTTACTATGATATCCTTTTTATGTAAAGGAACGTCAGTGACCATTTTGCTGCACTCAAGTGTTTGTGTTGATGATGCGATACGTTTTAGTTCAGGGTATATTGGATCACAAGCCCTATGAACCAATTCTACATTGCTTTCGTATTGTACACCACATGTAGTAAAACTTCGTAAATCCTTTTTTGGGGAGGTACCTTGACTACGTAAGACGGGAGACTCTGTTAGACATCCAGCATTAACACCCAGATGACGTTTTGTCATAGTACACCGACTGTTTAAAACAGGCATGGCCTGGACAAACTCAGAGACCTGTGACTGAAGGGACTGACCGACTAAGTTCGGGTTCGAGACCGTTTTTTCTATTTCCTTCAGGATAGGCGAACAACCACGAGATTGGCTGACTATTTGAGATTGAATACCCACGTGACAAACAGACTTTTTAATAATTGATAACAAAGTACTAACAAATTCTTCACGACTTTCATAAAAGCTTCGTATAACTTTGTGTACAATCTTCTTATTTTTGTCTTCCATTTTTGGGAAAACTCGATTCAACCATTCTTTAGTCATCGACTCGGTTTCATAAAAAAGGCAGCCAAATTCGCGTGTTTCTGGTTGTGAACAGAGAACTCCAACTTCCTGAATGGATGGACAAACATTGATACCAACGCATCTAAATTCGGACGATTTGACAGGACAAGCCATAGTAGCTGTGGTGCGTTTATTAGCTTCCGATGACTGCATGGCAATTTTATGAGTAAAAGGTCGTTCCGATAAAAAGCGTTTGTAGAAGTACGACTCCAGTTTAGACCAATATTCTGAAGGAAACTGGCTCTTATCGATCCCGTTATTCAAGTTACCAATGTGATTTGGACTCGGAAAGTCATTAGCAACAGGGTCAGTTTTAGGAGCCTTTTTATATGTTCGGACTTCCTCTTCAACGATTTCTTCTACTTCTTCATCAGTGCTATCAATGTGTTCACCGTTTTGAAATCGATGAGACTCTTTAATTTCATCTTTCTCATGAAGGCGTACGTTTTCTTCATACAAATAACGTAAATTGTCCTGCAGAATAGGAACTTGACTAGCCTCCTCCTCTAAGTTTCTTATTTGTTTGTGCAATTCATTAATTTTTGACTTATAACTTTCCTCAACATTTGATGTATATTCTGGAAGAACTGAAGAATCATTTACCGTTTCATCAATATAGTCAGGTCGGGATTCAGACTGCTCTCCACGTACTGATATACACGTCCCATAAATAAAAAATTCGTCCTTATCTTCGTTATGAAATTCAGGCAAAGTATACATGCCTAGGTTTTTATCTAGAGACTGATTTACTCTGAATGAGCTATAAGATGTGTTGTTAGAAATAGGAGATATGTCAGGAAATCCATGATCCCAGTCGAAATGTCGTTCAGGATCTTCCATTTGAGAACAAATTTCACTATTTAGTTTCACACTAAAGTTATAAAAAAACTAATTAAAAGTAAATAATGTTGAAAATTGGTCCAATACATAAAACGTGTTGTAAATACTATGACCAGTGAGTGAAGTAAGACTATAATTTGAGGACGAGACACTTAGACTTAAGATGAAGAACCTTGGTTTTTAGCAATGGATTCACTGATCCAAATGGTCAAACAACATTTTGGCACTATAAATTATATGGGCTTGTGATGAAAACCCATACTTCAATTCCTAATCCTGACCCCTCATAGTAACTCATAACCCCTTTTTGACCCTAATAAGTAGGTACTTTTTAAATCAGTTCAGCGTCGTTCGAAGGTCGTCCACAAATCACAGGCTTATTCTATTTTGCTGGGTGATTTACTGTTTACGATATTTCTTAACATTTGTATATTTTCGCTTAGACAATACACATCTATTTTATATAAACCACTTCCAAAACCGTTTGTTACATAGGTGTATTTAAAAGCTTTATATGACAACATACTACTATGGAAGTGTGTTGTTTTCAGACAAAGCATTAATCTGACATTTCTTAGTTTTAATTACCATTGCCATGTTTATAAATGCCACTAAGCTAACTACAATAACTTCACCATCATGTTCCCAACTTTAGTGCTAAAATTAAAATTAAAATTAAAATTAAAATTTTTAATTCTAGTCAAGTTTTCCAATTTTTATAATCCATATCAACTTACAAGCGACCTAATTTACACGTACGTTAAAATGTCCCTATGCCACTTGAATTAAACAATTATTTGAACCGTTATCAACATTTTCAATAAACCCATCATAGTCGTTAATTCTACAGGTATTCAGATTTATGAGTTGGGTTGTCACATTATTCGCCTAAAAAGACATTGAACGCAGTTCAAATAAAGTCGCCTCATTAAGATATCGCACTATTCATTGATTTATTTTAACACATAGATATTGGTACAAGGAGGCACAAAATACATATGCGGCACATAGATCTCATTTGATATGTGTGAGGGCTGTGATACTGCCCGAGTGCCCAAACCGAAGCAGATGGTTTTCTAAGGGGGGCACACTTGATATATAGCACTGCACTGGTATAATAAAAATATCACTTCAGAGTTTACTACTAAGATTAATACTAAGTAGACGAATATTTCTGGACCTAAACTTGGGTTACAATCTGGCAGTTCAAACTCGTTAATTTTACAAACTTCTGATATTAACGAATAATCTAAAACAACAGAAGGCGATTGCATTTCTATCAACTGTCTGGAAATCTTAGTCACATCCTTGAAACAACTTCTTTCGTGAAACATGGCGAAATGCTTGCAAGACAATATAACAGGAGGTTGGTAAGTGACTGAAAATTATCACAATTTTGACTGAAAAAAAAACCTACAAATATGTAAATTGGTAAATTTCGCCATACTCCTAGGTAGAAATAGAAGTATCCTAGAACGTACATGAAAATCACCGAAAATCAAAGTCATGATGGCCTGCTATAGATTTACTCGAACAAAGTACTGTTAAAAGTACTTGCGAAAAAAATCTCGCAAATAAAACAGAAACTACTTAAGTAGCTGAACATAAACTTCAACCACGTACGAGCCACATATACAAACTTTGGTTAAAAACAAAAACTAAGCCAACTGTAATTCAATGGTGTAAATCGCTGAAAAACAATAATGTTTTGATTTCTTAAATAATAAACACAGTAACTAGACACACAGTACGCTTAGTGTCTTCATGAATACTTAGTACGCGATAAATCCACGTAGAGACAAATATATTGTCATCCTAAAAATATCTGACCTTACACGTTTTATCCAAACGCTACAACAAAACAATCGAACCTACAATGCATCCCAAGTGCCCGCTAGCAAGGATCTGTATAAGGGACACATGTTAACTTAGATAAACACATTTTCCCAAATGTCGCTGTAAACATGATTGATGAAAGTATTCATCGTTATATAGTACTTTGTTCTCAGTCTTCAAAAATACCAGCACAACTATGATAACCTCAAAATTATTCAGTCCATAAAAACGACAATTTTGCGCTTCATTCGAAAGTGTAGGAAAGCATAGAAAATATGACCATAGAATCTAATAAAATGAAAGATATTTTGTTGCTTCAAATGACCTCAAAGTATGAAGACCCACGCCTATGGATAGACAACTACCTAGCAAACCCATCAGTTTCTGAAACGGAAGTTAATCACCTGAGATCTGTTATGCAAAGGGATCAAGCACTCAAGAAGGCAGATAGCGAGAGAATCTAGTGAGTTTCGAACAACCTTTGTGTATTCGTATGACAATGAAAAACTTTTTATATGTACGAAGTGGTCTGAAGTAGTTTCCCTTTGCATGAGTTATATTGTTAGCTGCTATTATGTATTATGATATTCTTTATCATCCATTTAGCATACTATGCAGTCCGTCAATCTAACTTATAGCCCACTTTTTGCTTTTTACAGTAATTTTCTCCCTGTTCTGTCTACCAATAATCAATTATTAGAAAATGCTTAATACAGTAACAAATAAAGACAATAACTGGAATTTTGAGGTACAAACTAACAGCAAAATAGCCTGAGATGATATGAGACGCACTCATGTTGTTAAGATCTACTTCTGAACTACTAATAAAACGACCTGATCATACTTACATTGACTTTAGATGTGGTTATTCACTAAAATACACTATTAAATCTTTAATATGAAGGGTTATTAGAGATACAAGATTTCGTCAAATTGCCTATCCTTATGCATCTCTACCAAGCAAAACTAAAGCTTGCTACCTTCAAACAGGCAGTATAGTCTTTTTTACTCAGAGTACTCTTCAGTAATCATTCTCTTCTAGAACAATTTATTTTTGTGATAGTAGAACGTGATAAACACGTTGATATAAAATGTGATTCAAGAAAATATTGAGAAGCTGTTTCAAATTAGTTTACAATTATGTTTGTTTGAACTTCTATAAAGATTGTCGACGATACCTGGATCTGATCGTACTGTGAAAATCCTAATACAGAAATCCTCAACCATGCTGTTTTCTCAACCAAAAAGTAGCTCACCAATGACAAATGGACATTTATAAATAGTACTATAAGAAAGTCACATGTCACCTATCTTATAAGGAATGTAGGTCTGATTCCGCTTGAATCAGCGAATGCATATGGACCTCAATGTTTCAATATCTCTTTGGTTTTAGAGGTTCTGTAATCATAATTCTTAGGCCATATGATTGTGAAAAGATTTATAGCTCAGCGGGTTGATTATGGTTCAATTCCATCTTCTGAACAAGAAAATTTGATCATGGAGCTTTCAATGTTCTACTCAACAGCATCAGTTCAAACTTCAGTTGGAAGTAGATTATTCGACATTCTCCACATACGACTAACAGACTGTCCAGTAATGCTCCTGTGTCAGTTTCGGTGATGAAGACATCCAACAATGATTTTCTATTGTCCGTGCCCTGTTTCATTCCAAAATTCTTGTCACTGAGGGCGTTGCTCACCATATCGAGTTTGTTTTCTAGATCATCCTCTTTGACAAGAAATGTGCCGTGTTCATAACAGATCCGCAAATTTGGCTTGGTCTCTGGAAGAATCAAAGCTTCCAGTGCCAACATCACCGCTTATACAATCAGCCCTAATATAGATTGTCCTACTAGTGCTCTTTTTCGACAGTTGATTTGACAGGTTGACAACACAACTGCTTCTGTTTTCTTCTGTGCATAATTCTTAAATCCTTATTGGTTTTTCTTTGATAGTGTTTCGTCTTGGTTCCTAGTGTCATCTGCTTGATAACTCATTTGCCGTTGTCAAATGTTTTAATGAAATTATTTTCTCCATGTCGCCCTTTTAACTATCCACATTGTGTTGGTATTTGCTGATCCTGTAGTGTTAAGGCTGTTTTTGTTGTCGAAAGATGGAGATATTTTAAGTTGCGAGTAATGAGGTCAGATCAGTAACTTGGCGAACTTCTTGTCAATCCTATTCATGATGAATTACGCAGAATTTGTTTCTCAGTCATTGTCCATATAGAAGGAACGAAGAAATTTGAAGTTGTCTAACAATCAAATTTGAGGAGAATTTGTAGGATCAGTGATATGTCACAGAGCCGTAGCCAAACCATCTGGTAGATGAGTCACTGAATATCGAACAGATCATCGATTCTCGTCAAAGTCAATGATGACCAACGCTCATCAGTTAGTCGTATGCCATGAACTGGCCCACTCAAGGGTCTCACTATCTTTAATGTACTCATTCTTACTAATGTATTTCCGCAGTAACGCCCTATGTGATGTACGGTTTTCCGTTTGCCGACTGTAAGCTTAAAACCGGTGTGTGCAATCGGTCTCTGGGATTCGCTGCAAGAACTCTAACTTTGGCGCCAGTATCAATGAGGTGGCAAACTTTCGTAGTCACATCAGTGACTTATAACAGACGTCTGTGCTCGCCGGCTACGGTTGCTGTCAACGCGTGCAAGCTGGGAAGTTTTACTGAAACGTTCTTCATATCGGTCGGTTTAGAGTTTGTCACATTGCAATTCCGAGCAGATTTTCCGTAGTGATTATGATAACAGGAGCAGTTGGGGTTAGCTGTCTCTCGTCGTCTAGAGACAGATAGCTTTCGTGAAAAACTCCTTTTAAGGGTTTGTGGTCCTTTACGGTCATTACGAATCCGTAGGTTACGTGTCAGCGTATGACAGAGTCCGGTAATGTCATTCCGTGTCGTTTGAGTTTTTTCTGTGATTGAAAAACCCTCAGCGTTAGAAGATTAGGTGATCTCTAAAATACAACCGGCAGATGCAACCAGCTCGTCTACGGCGTTGTTCTGCAATGATACACACTGCTTGCACCTGTTGAAGAAGTTAGACAAGAAAATATGTCTAAACAGACCATTATATAATGTGAAACTGTCGTAAATTTAAAAAGGGCCAAAACGGGAGGAATTTCAGTGATGCACCCTAGTTGAATCGATAACATACAATATTTTCTGTAAAATAACGACGAAAACTGTACAGATCAATAAAGATGTGCGTTGCTGAATGAACAAATCTAATTACAAATGATTTACAATATGCCCGAACAATGCCTTTTGTGTTAGGTAAGGTCATTGTTACAAGAACAATCACGTAAGATCTTCTAGGTACGGTCAGCTATTAAACATAAAGAATGTGCAATAATTACTCGCAACGAGATTTCTAACAACATGAGAATATTGACCCATTCCAGAAAAGCCTAAACATCACCAGTTAAATAACTTGAAACTGAGCTATTAACTGTTCAAAACAATAATCCTTAGCAACAATTAAGGAACCAAACACCCCTTCCTCCAGCAACACAGTCAACTGAATCAATCATGATCTTGTAGCGTGGCGTCGAGTTGAAATTAACTATGAACACCGCTACAGAGAAACACGTGTCAAATAAATCAGAAGGCGAGGGTTGGACGTAACCAAATAGATCCATAAAATCCCCGAGAAGCCAAATACCAGAAGGCAATTAATGGACCAAATCGAGGTGTATATTTGCTGGCGAGATCGTGCCAGGATACAACCTGGGTTACAGAAGGTAACCGAATTCGCGCGAAGTTACAATCGAAGTGTAAGTACACGAATGGAAGCAAAATATAGCTGTCATTAGCACAGTCAAACAAAAGCACATTAAAACAAGCACTGGTACAGTTGGTTATAATAATAATTGTTTTTATTAAACCAGCCGTGTTCTCGTGATAAATGTGAGTCACTACAATCTATCAGAAACGCAAACGATTAATATGACAGAAGCCAGAATTTAAAATGTTGGGTAAAGCAAGAGTGAAACTGTGGTTTATACCTCAGTAGCGTCTAAGAGCTGACCACGTCTCAGTGGTTATAAACAGAGAACGACAGAAGAGATGAGACATATGAAGAAAAAACAGGGTAATAGTCACAGGGAAAAATAAATATTTTAGGATTCTTCCCCATGCCGCAAATCGACTCTATGAGGGATGCTCCCAGCTCATCCGTACTTCGCAAAACAACAATGTCTTACCCACTACGTATAGCTTTCATATATTGAATAAATTGAAATTACAAGGGTGAAAAGATCTTTAAAACTAAAAATTCAGAATCCCAAAATGCAAAGCTTACATTTGAGTATTCACATTTCAAAAGTATAGGAATTATTGCACGTAACCAATAATAATAAAAGCAAAACACTATATATTTGACATCCAACTATGAGTGGATTCGTAACTTTTTACAACCAAGAACGGGTGAATTTCACCAAAACCAAAGATTCCCAGAAATGATATTATGACTTTCCGTAACATACTTTGATAAGCATCAAACCTTGGTAGTTCATTGTATCACAGAAGTATCATAATAATTCAAATATCAAGCAAACTTTGTTCGGTGCAATAGCTAAACCAAAATATTGATGTCTTTAGGAATACTAAAACTTCCTAATCTTATTAAGACTAATTGCAAGGGAGAACATGTGTGATCACAATAAACTGTATTATTCAGACAACCAAAAGCTACCTGGGTACAATAACAATAAATTGTACAATTGATAGAGAGCAAACACCAGATGCCATGGAATCTATAAATTATAAAGTTTAGGAATAAAAGCCGATCCACTTCTTAGCGTGTGACTCATTACCCTGTAACAAATTAGTTACCAAAACCGCTGGTAACATTATGGCCCACCATATAACACGATTTTGAAAGAACCTAAAAGTATCAAGTGGAAACACACCCTCTTCCTTGAAAGCCAACCGCGTTAGATTCAACAAACTAAGGTAAATTAAGATAAACAAACGAACACCTGTAGGATTTCCCGGTCCTACTGTTTTTATATATTTATCTCTACCAGTTTTTACCCGGTATAGGAGTCACACTCAAAATCAAAAATACTATTTCTCCAGTTGCTTGTATTTTGTTTATCCACCTGCTGATATTCAAGAACTATGTTTTGAGGCATTTGGTAATAGTGTTGCTTGGTTTTCTCTTGACAAGTCACCATTCTTTTCATTTTTTTTATATTTATTTTCGTATCAAAAGTCTGAGTTTACAGAAGTTCTTTAAAATTGTTCATTTTACCAAATACTCTACTTGTATTGTCTGATAAAATGTGGTTGTGTTGTAGATGAAAATTCTCGTTTAGTTCTGTTTAGTTTTGATAAAACTTAATCCATATCGCGGTTGACTAGAGGAAACACGTATATTAATCAAATCAATTTAGAATTAAACACAATATCATATTTATGTAACAACTATAATCCACAGCATTTGTACGCATGTGCCCGTAAGTTTGATAAAAACCGACATATATCTAACTAATAATATTAACTGATGTAGACATAGCTTAAGAAGCTTATTTTCGGAATAACGTGGAAAAATTCAATGATTTCCACAACTGCTTTATAGTTGAACAGGATAGACAGGAAGTGACAATATCTAAACATTGTGTATAAAATGTTCAGTTATGTAAATCAGTGTGTGTGTGTGCACTATGAATTAGGAAAAGACAACATCGGTTTCCATTCACTGATCAGTATGCGTAAAATTCATCCCTAACCAGTTTCCAGTTCATATTTTGTCTAAATTTAATGCGAAGTTAGGTATTATTTAATGTAGAAAACGGACAAAATTAACTTTCTAAATGTTTACAAAATTAATTGCTTTGACAAGATTAGTAAGTATATTTTTATTTAGAAAGTATGATAAATAATTTTTTTCACGATTTTCAGTGACTTAGTTGGATCATTTCCTTCTAAACTACAACCTGAAATTCTACTCAGTAATATGAACCAATTGCGTAATAAAATTCCAGCAGTTCCTGGTAGTGGCTTTGTATCAACTTACACCACAATTATCCAATCTAATGATATAAACCCAGTTGAAGATGAGGATTACATGTCACATTTAGAATATCTTCACAAACGCAGATCATATGCAACATTACAGTTACGTAGATTTACATCCAAATTCTCAAAGTTATGTCCAATATGTTTACATCAATTTAATTCATTAACAGAAACGTATCGATGTATTAAGTGTATTCGTAATGTTTGCCGAAATTGTGCATGCAAAATATCATTGTCAAATTCGAATATTTTATGTAAAGAGTGTTGGGAAATTGCGTAAGTCTTTAATTATTTATTACAAAATTTATAATTTATTATTTAAATACTCATTGGCTAATGAATGGGTTATGTTTTTTCCGAATTAATTTTAAATACTAATTAATTATCAGAAGGGGTTTTGTGGAGATTTTTAGAAATTTCACTAGTTGAATTCATGAGTCAATTGGAGATAGATCACCATGGAAACCTGGAGGAACTGGACGGCCGTTTCCTCCCAACATAGGACTCCTCAGCGGTGCGCACCTACGACCCCGCCCTCCGCAAAATTCTAAATCAGGACCCGTCAGTCTTGCGAGCGATGCGCTGAACGATTACACCACTGAGCCGGCATCCAAAGGTGTTAATGTCTAATTTAAACTAATCCACAAAGTTGCGCCACCGTACATTGACATCAAGAGGCATTTCCTGAAGTTCTAGTGAGAAGCCGTGACCAGTGGAGTTCAACCAGGTCTTTTTGTAAGGTATCAATTCACTGAAGACAATGGGTTCGAATCTCGCGGTGGGCGGAGTCGTGAATGCGCACTGCTGAAGAGTCTCATACTAGGACGAAACGGCCGTCCAGTTCTTCCAGATTTTCCTTGGTGGTCTAGCTTCAATTGACTCATGATTTCAACTATTGAAACTAATTAATTATTTAACTGAAAAATTGCTTCTAGTTTAATATTCGTGTTTATTTATTTGTTTTTTAACAAATTACTGTAATATATTACTGATAGATAACTACTACTCAGTGAAATATAGATTTAATATATATCTCGTCCAAACAGATGTATGTAGCTGCATTATTCCGTAGAAATATTTAGCGAGTTCAACATGAATGTGTAAAGATGTTTAAGTATCTGCAAATGCTTTTTATGCAATATGTAATAATAAATATTATGTATGCTAACAAGTAAAGTTCATTATATTATACTAAGTGATCATCACCAAGAGATCTTAACAATTTTGAAAACATTGAATTCAGGATAGTGGTCAATGTTGTTACAATAAACGTGTTCGGTCACTGTTATTTAAATAATCAGTTAATGGTTAACAGAATGAACTAAAATGATCAGGTGGTCATTTACTAAATTAATTGACTGGTATTCAGACGGAGATATAATGAAAAATTATTATAAAGAATTAAAATGCTGTCTTTAGCAATAAAGCGAACCATCATTGTCCATTCACTTTTGACGAGCCCCTCTGAGGCTACTGCCGGTCCCAAGCCTGGATAAAGGAGGAGGGTGGGGCATGGGGTTACCGACCCCATCCCGTAGAAAACTAACTCGCTAAAAGAACACTAACCAGAAAAAATAATTTAAACCATTTAAACTCTTCCTTAGGCGTTAGAAGGTCTTCATTTAGAAGAGTTATGATGCCTCATGGTGAAATTTGAGTTCCTTCGGTAGTCACGAGGCTGACGCTCCTTCTGACATACAGAGCAACAGTTAATTTAAGCACATGGAATGTTCTTACACTGTGGGAGACCGGGGTAGTGTTATATCCGAGTGGAGATTAAATTACAGGTAACTCCCGAGGACTATTAATGAACTAATATTCTATAAATATTCTTATTGTATAATTATTCAACAATTACATTACGTATATTTATATTCCTCTTATGACAAGCTTTATTTTGGCCTATAATTTATTATTATACGATTTACGGTTCTTAATCTATGCTCAGTCTATTATTCACTGTCCCCCTCATTCACAGCCACTTTTTGGCTTATTTGTGTACAAATATTATTTCCTATTTTATGGTACGTTGCGGTCTGTGTGATTGATATATAAACCAAGTATGCCTGAAATAAACGATCTGGTCTGATCTGCTCTGATTCGGAAGCTGGTATCTTGTTCTGGACTCAAGTGGAAGGGCTCGTAGGGCATAGGACCAATAAGGACGCTAAACTGCCCACACCGGTTGAACGTCATTGGTTGGCCTAGTGTGAAGATTCGTATAAGTCGTATTCGGATTGGTAGATAAATCGCGTGATAGCAAAATCAGACATACAAGGTCATAACAGGTAGTCGTCCAAATCGCTGCAGAAATGAAAAGATACAACCTGGAGGGCGGTGCTTGGAAAAAATGTTATGAAATATACAAAACATTTAAAGATAAGAATGATATTTTATGACATGTTATAATGAACCAGATTTAGGACTTATCGATTCTTAATAATGATAGATAAATTTAGCTGACAAATAATAAATATATAAGAAGTTTAATATTTATGAACAACAAAGATCCTCGAATGTTTATTTTTTTCATTTTGTTTTTCTGAAGCATTTACACTACTATTTTTACCCTTTACTTACATGAGTTAGTTCTTTTAATTTACTTACTTACCTACTTACGCATGTTGCTCCTCGTGGAGGAGAACAGGCCGACAACCAACATTCTCCATCCAACTCTGTGCTGTGCAATTCTTTCCAGTTCTTTCCAGTTGCTGCTCATTTTCATGTCTGCTTCCAATTCGCGGTGCAGTATGTTCATTGGCATTCCTGTTTTCCGTTTCGCTTCACGATTCCAAGTTAGTGCTTATCTCGTCATGCAGTTTGATGATTTCCTTAATGTATGTCTTATCAACCCATAGTAGCTTGTTGATGATGGTATCCGGTCAACGGACCTTAAGTATCTTGCGTAGATAACTGTTTATAAAAATGGTTGTACATTTTTGATTATGGTTGTACCATTTCTCCACGTTTCGGTTCCGTATAGTAGAACTGTCTTGACGTTTGTAATAATGATTCTGTATTTGATGTTGATTGACAATTGTTTTGAGTTCCATATGTTCTTCAGAAGTAGGAACGCTGTCCTTGCTTTGTCAATCCTCGTCTTTACGTCTGCATCAGATCCTCCACGTGAATTTCTTCACCTCTTCTAGAGTTTCGCCATTAAATGTGATTGGTTTTTTTTTTTAATTTACTCACATACCGAAATCAAATTTTCCTGTACATTTTGCAAATTACATTATAAACTTGACGGAAATATTTATAACAGATAGAATAATACGAAATGATCTTAGAAATTCTTTCTATTTCCTTGTATATTTAAAGAATACTTAAACATGTATTTACATTAATTTTTATATGACATATGTTTTACTATGAAATTATATGAACAATTTTCAAATTGTAGTATAGCTTCAAGCAAAAATACGATTTTGTTTTCATACTATAACAGTTCCTTAGGTGATTAGATATAATTTTCTTATTCAAGTATTAAATTCTGTCGATTATTTCTGTGATTACGTCATTTATGAAATGTTATGTTTTATACAATTTTATTCCATGTTTTCGACAAATTTATTTTATGAATAAACTTTTGAAAGTCATCTGTTTTGTTTCTAGTTTTAATGATTATGATTATAAAATGAGATTAAACTTTTGATGGAGTTTTGTACTCTGAGCTGGATGGTTTGGTTGTGGAGCTTTCATCGATGAAAGCTCCACAACCAAACCATCCAGCTCAGAGTACAAAACTGCATCAAAATTATTCACCTGAGCTACAAATCTTCTCCACCATCTCAAAATCATATGAAATTAAACTATTCAAAAGATCTAAATTAATTAATGATCACAATTAAAACAGACAATCCATGATTTTGTAATGAGAAAATTAGTATTATTAGACAACTGAAATAAACTCTCAACAGTATGATAAATTTAAAACGATTTTATAATGTAAAAAACTTATTAAATGCTATACCCAAGTCAACAATAAATTTGAATAACAGTCTGCAACTGATTACTATGATATCATATACAAAACTGGTTTCCTTAATTACAGGACGCTTTTAGATTTGGTTTGATATATAAAGTTGATGCTTTAAATGTATGATCCTTGTTTTAAAAACTGGAGATAAAAAAATATGGTAAATATTTTCATGTTCCTCTGTCAACATTTATCGGGTATTAAAACTATTATGCGAATTGGGGATACTTATAGATATATCTGTAAAACCCATAATACGTTTTTTAAAATGATATATTTCTTCGATGTATAACTGCATCAGAACTCCGGGAAATTCCTCTTCTAGTGAGCAAATGATAAGTGTTAGCATAGAGTTCAGTATTTCAATGAGATTTAACGATCTCCGAAACCCTACACTTAAAATAATCGTGTGTCCACTAGTGGACAACTTCAAGTGAAAAGTCCGGAAGTTCTAATGAGAAGACGTCACCTGTAGAGTAAACCGTGCCGAGAATGATATATTTGTTTTAAACCCGTGCGGCACAACCTTTGCATCTTGTTTCAACTCCTATTGATTACTATGTCCAGCAGATCAAACAAGGCAATACACAGTCGTATGGCTGTCCAAACGTGACCGTCTATCGGTAACAGCAGTCTTCATAAACCTATACACACAAAACTCTAAATACATACAATATTTAAATGATTTTCAACAAGGAAACTGTCTAAACAGTCTGTCTTTCTCCTCTATAGAATTTTTATGACCAAGAGCTGAATATTTTATTAAATTGTTATGTTCAGAGTTCACTATTACTAAGAGTGAAAAAAAATTTCAGCTGAGATACATTTTCAATGTTTAACCTTCTTAATTAGGTTATGCTGTCCTTCGGAAACGAATATTAACAGTCATGTTCTATCAATCATTTCTTCTACTCATTAAATAAATTACATCAATAGATAAGTCTTGTCAATGTTTGTTACTACCAATCTAAACTATCCAAAACATGAAATTTAATGGTCATAAGTGTTTAAAAATGTAAAAATTCATTAATACGTATTCTGGCACTTTCAGCTATGGGTGATCGTTCATAATAAACCGAAGAATCTACAATCTCCATGTATATATATATATGTTGAACCTATGGATTACTATAAATTTAAAGAAATGTAATTACGTAAAAAATAACAATGAATAAATGTATCTAACAGTATAATGACTTTGTAATGATGATTATCGTTTGTTAACAAAATGAATTGGCTATAGTTAGAAATCAACGAAAGCAAGGAAGTATTTAACAGCTGTATAACCATAGAACAG